AAAAAAAAAAAAAATCAAACCAGGTCTTTGCCTTGGAGCCATCAAGCCCCTTCTAAGACTGAAACTCACAGGGAACCCACAAGTAGTCTAGTATGCTAGCTGGTGAGATGAAGACCTGGAATGAGCTTCACTACGTCCCATTGACACCCATTGACCTTGACATGAGAGAGATAAGCGAAGGGACTGGCTGGTTTGAAGTTTAGGGAGATGTGTGAACTCCTGGGTCCACTGGAGGCTAGAGTTGAGAGTGAAGTGGCCAGCTAATCTGAAGTATGGGGAGGCATGTGTGAACTCCCAGACTTGCAGATAGTACCCATCTGACCTAGGTTGGATGGCTAGCTGACCAGAACTCGACCAGATGGAGACAAAAGAGTTTGATACTGTTGTTGTTCTAAATGCTGTTGAGTTGATTCCAACCCATAGTGACCATGTATAGGGTTTCCAAGGAGCAGCTGATGAGCTTGAATCACCGACCTTGCAGTTCAAACGACTTTGCAGTCTGACACGTTAGGAGTCCACACCAGGATGATGATAGGATTTTATAATTCAATTGTGAGTAATTATTAGCAGGATTAATCGCAATTGTCACAATTTTAATTGTAGAATATGATTAACTAAAAGTGGGGAGTAGTCAAACTTTCATTTCAGGAACAGAAGACCCTACGATCATCCAGAAGGAAGAGCATGAGTGGAGCGCGAGATCCTACCCAGAAAAGCAGCAGCAGCAGCAGAGACAATGGCCTAGACAGAGCAGCTGAGGGCTCTAGGTCCATGGACTGAGTAAGGCTGTGTGCCCGTAGGCAGGAGGCTGGCTTGCAAAATGTGCCCTTTGGACATTTAAATGAATCTATAGTTCTTGTTTTGTATGTGTGCATCAAATACTTTTGTTTTGTGCATATGCGAAAAATCAGCTGTAAAAGGGAAGCCCCCCCACCCCCCACCCGGTGGAAGGGGACAACTGTTGTTTCCAGGAGGGGAGTGTAATGAAACAAAACGTATGATTGGTTGGAAGTAAGGCTGATGATCTTGTCTGTTTACCGTCACTCAGTTCACAATAAAAGTCGTGTGTGTGTGTGTGTGTGTGTGTGTGTGTGTGGAGGGAATAAAAACATTTGCAATAACAAGAACAAAATAAGAAATAAACCACCTAAAAAAATTAACATCTGGGCACGGAAGAGGTCTGTCCACATGAAAACGGAGTGCTTCCAAAAAGCTGACACCGCTGCGATTCATATAATCTGGAACCCTTCACCTCACCTCTCCCTTGCCAGTCTCCACTGTGTCCTCTGAACATGAGATGGGAGCCTGGGGTAGGGATCCAATTGCCAGTGTCCACTGTGTCCTCTGGACATGAGATGGGAGCCTGGGGTAGAGATCCGCTCGGGGAACTGGGCGTTGTCCAGGATGCTGCATGGACTTTGAGCTCAGCGCTAGGTAACAGAGACAAGCGCACAGCACTGAACACACCACCCTATCGCGCATCCATCAACATCCACCCACTGCCCTTCAGACTTTGGGGGAAGGTGTACAACAAACACCTTGGCCACCCAGGGCCACCCCTCTGTGTGGAGCCGAGAGGGGTGTGGAGGTGGGGTGTGTAGGAGGGTGATGTGAGATGTGAACAGAGAGGGGAATGGAGCAGGTAAAGGCTCTGGGAAAAGGCAAGTTACTGCTGAAACGGATGAGGGGATCAGGTAAACCTTTCAGCAGAAACAAGACCCACTGGGTGGAGGGAAGTGGCCTCCGCTGGCCACTCCCATGTGGGCAGGGACATGCCCACAGTCCTGTGTTTGCAGGCAGAGGCTGACTCTCAGGGAGGCCAGTACTGGCATTCGGCCTGAGTCTGTCTAGAAGCCTCAACCAAAGTCTTCTAGAGCACCATCTGAAACGGTGTAGCAGGGCTGAGGTGCCACCGCTAAAAAGAAGGGGTCGGGGAGAATCCATTTCTGCACGTAAGTGGAGTCAAACGGTGAGTGGGTTCAGGCGTAGTTGATCCAAGATCAACTCAGAGGATGTCGGTCTCACTCTCACTTCCTTCCCTGCCACCCGCATCTTTCTCTCTCCATCTCTCATCTCTACCACACTCCAGAAGTCTGAAGTCTTAACCACAGATGGCTTCCTTCCAGCAGCAAGGAAAGACGGCCCAGTCCCAATTCCCCTGGTTAATGTCCCCAGCAAAGAGGCTCTTCCTCTTTAATGCCAAGACAAAACTTGTGGGGAAAACTCTGATTTATAAATGTGCGGTCATGTGTTAAGGGGCGTGGTACAATGACTGAGAATCCACAGAACCACATCGAGGGGGAGATCCGCTGGCCAAGTCAAAAAATGGTCACTGATGAGAATCCAGCACAAGTTCAAAGGATTCCTTCTACCCAGTCCCTCCCTCAGGCCCCTCCCACGGCCACCGCCCCCTCCTGCCACCCCCCTTCCCAGGATGGTTTAGTGAGAGTTGGGCTTCAACGTAGATACAGGACGTGACTCACAACAGACCACACACCAAGATCACAATCAGAAATGGACTTTTATTAGGAAATCACCCTGCAAATACATCATGAAGTGCTGTGGGTTTAACACGTTTCCTGAGGAAGGAGGGTCACAGTATTATTAGAGCTGTCAGAAGAACAGGTGGGTAGCCTGCCGCCACGCGGAGGCAACTGGTACTGCAGTTGGCAGTATTCCTTCACAGAAACACAAACGCAGCCATCACAGAATCAACACACGAGGACACCAGCGCACACTCTGCTGCGTTACATGTAAATAAACAGAACACAGAGCCCCACCCTGCCATAGTGCTAGGGTGACAGGAACCCAGAAGGGAAAAAGAAAAACCAAAAAGTCTCTCTCCATCGGGCCAAGGGGAAAAGCCCCAAATTATCAAAATCCCTCAGTTACAAAATACTTTTTAAAAAATTCCATTATTAAAAGAATAAATAACAAAATATATAAAAATAACTTGGTTGCATCAAAATTATAACTCGAAGTCATATCAAGATTTTTTGAGTGATCTGTCTTTATAGTCAAACCATTAGTTTGCTTTCATTTCCCTCTCATGGTGCCCTGGGGTGGGGTCTGGTTAAAATAGTATAAAATTAATAAATAAAAATGTAAAATAAATAGCGAACATCAACATAGGAGGTTGTGAATATACTTACATCTTGACAAAAATTAAATAATTTACAGAATAATTAAGCTAGCTACTTTTTTATTTCTTCCAGGAAGTGCAATTTCTCTACTTTTAAAGACTAACTCGGAAGGCAGTCACAATCAATTTGGACTCTATTTACATGTAGGAAATTTGTGTTTTTAACACATTAAATCAAAATTTGCCTTTTTTTCCCGTTTTACTTCTTAAGTGGATCTAAAAGGAAGTGAAATCTTTGTGGTCTCCCATTGGGACTTGACCCCAGGCCCCACCCAACTCAGTTTGAGGGTACCAGCTGTCACCGGTGCCTCGGGTCAGTCTCACTGCTGCTGCTTGCACATCGGGTGACTCTGAGTGACCGTCAAGGCTCTCTGAGCCGAGGGTGGCAGGCAGAGCAGCTCTGGGAGGCCCATTCCCAATTTTTCCCTGGGACAGGCTTATTCCGTCCTCAACACAAAACTGAATCAAACAAAATGGTGAAAAACACACTGGCACGCACAGCCCTCGAGGCAGACGCGCCCACCGGACCTCCCGCCACGGTGCCCTCCAGCCACTACAGACAAGGAATACTGTGGTTGCAAACTCCAGAAGCTTCCCTGAGAACCTTAGCCATAGAGCTTTCCACTGGAGATTTCGAACTGCTCTTCAGATTTCTTTCAGAAAACAAAAATACATCAGTTTGTAACACTTCAGTGGCCCGTGGCCTCCGGGCACAAAGCCTCGGGGAACACTGACCTGTAGGCACCCCTTTTGATAAGCCCGGTGAGGCCCCCCACATTCCTGCACCCCACCGCTGCCAGGAGGAGTCCCAGAGGAACTGTGGGACAGGTGCGCACTGGGCTGGGTCTGCAGCAAGGCTAGACCTGGATGCCCCTCACAGCCTGTTTGATGCTTTCCAGGAGGGCCTTGTTCTCGGGGTTCCTGTAGCAGTCCTGGTCGGTGTACATGTTGGTAAGGGTGCTCACATACGCATCGAAGTTCTGCTCGCAGATTGGCTCCTGGACCCAAGAGAGCAGGACCAGGTTAATACTCACCACCACCCCAGGGCCCTGCTCCCAGGTCACCAATCCCACCCCACAGACACGGCTGTAAGTTGGACCCACGGTGACACACGTGCCTCAGAGAATGTGGGCCGCTCAGTGTCACAGCCATATGGCCAGCACCCAGCCACTTTGGTAGATAGGGTCAGGCTTTCCAGGTGGCAGGGCCCCTCCCAGTCCCGGCTGCCTACCATATGCGGGAGGCGGATGTTGGCGAGACTTTGGATGAGAGCCTGGCTCAGGCCAGACAGCTCCACGAACAGCGCCTCATTCTGCTCCTCAATGAGTTTGTTCTCCTCCTCGATGTTCCTGAGGTTCTTCTCCATAGAGGAGATCTGCAGGCAGACAGGCGTGCCCTCTCTGTACCGGTTCCACATCCCTCTCATCCCCTGGGAGCTTGTCAGATACCACACCAGTTATGCCCGCACCATTTCTTTACCTGGCCTCTGGTTAGTGGTGCTGTCAACAGTGGAGGCGCTGTAGAGGCCTGGGCTACTGGGTGGTGGGAGGGAAAGGGGGATCCTGGCACACAGCCTGAACCCAGGGAAGCAGGGCGGGGACAAGGTGGCTAGGCCAGTGTCAGGGGAAGCTGGACCTCAGACCTCTACTGTGTGGTTGTTCTCTGCACTCCTTGTCAGTAAAATAGGGGAACAACTGCACTGTGAGGTTGTTGGGATACCTCACCAAACACACCAATAATAGCCCAACGCTTTAGAAGTGTGTCAGACAGATACACTCCTTCTGTGTGCTTGTGCCTGGCAGAAACGAAAGGGACTCCTAACCCTGACAGTATCCTAACCCTGAGGGGCTCTTGACCCTGAGAGGATGGTGACTCTCCTTGAGGGAGACCCCTCACTCTGATAGAACCCACCTCTGATAACGCAGCTCCCCGCAGAGCATGCCCTACAGACAAGCGTGCCTGGACCCTCTCTCCAGTCAAGCCCTCGTGACAACCTTGGCCCAACTGTCCCCCACCTCCCAAGAGAGGAGGCTGAGTGTCACTGGAACCTGCCATACCAGCTGCCCCTGAGAGCTGGACACAGGCTGTGAGGCCCACCTGAGACTGCAGCTTGACCATAGCAGCTTCCATCTCCGAGTTGGACTCACTGAGGTCGTGGATCTCCTTGTTCAGCTGCTTGATCTCCTCATCATTCTCCAGCACTGCAGAGAAAATTGCCTTCTGCCCCAAGTGGATACACCAGTGCCCTACATCAAGCAGGTCCCACCAAACCTGGCCGGTCATCTTTGTCCACAGCTCACAGGCCCACATACCAACAGGACTGAGAACCTGAACTAGGGCAAGAGTTTGGAGAATTCACTTTTCAGAGACTCTTGGGTCTGTCTCAGTCAGGAAGGTGTGAGCCTCTGGGCTAAACCAGGCCTGTTTACAGACGATACTGACCATCCTCAGCCCTGTCTTTACTGTGGTCCACCAGGAGCAACCAGAGCTCTCTGCAGTGTCTGCAGCAAGACTTCCTTGGCTACCTGTGGTTCACCAGCTCCCGAGGAGTCATGGGTGCCCCAGACCACAGCAGGCTGCTCCCAGGCTTCATAACACCTCCTAGCATTCCTGCTGGTCCAGCGGGGCTGAACTCCCAGGCCTGGTTACTGAGGCCCATAGTCTCCCATATACAGACATCTCTGTGGACAGTAAGGGTCAGCTTACCATCACTCGTCTTGAATTTAGTGCTGAGAATCTCTTCCCCTGAGAGTTTTCCCTTCTTTCCAGCAAAAGTTGCTCTGGGACAGCCAGAGAGGCTAGAAGCAAAAGGTCACAGTTCAGGACAGGTGTGAGGTCACAGGTTGGGACAGATATATAGTCACAAGTAGGAAAGGTGTGAGACAGGTGTGTGGTCACAGGTAGGACAGGTATGCAGGCTCAAGTTGGGATAGATGTGGTCACAGGTCAGGAAAGATGTGCGATCACAGGTCAGGACAGGTCAGAGATCATAGGTTGAAGTCAGAGATCAGGACAAGTCTGTAGTCACCATTCTGCAAAGGTCTAAGGTCACATGTCAGGACAGGTCAATGTCAAGGTCAGAACAGGTTGCGGTCACAGTTCAGCACAGGTCTGAGGTCATGTGTCAGGAAAGGTCAAGGTCAGAACAGGTTGCGGTCATAGTTCAGGGCAGAGCTGAGGTCTCCACTTGGCTGAATAGATGCTCTCATCTATTTCTTGCCTCAGCCTCTTCTGGGGCCTCGATCACGAGAGTGACGAGGAAGAAGCTAGACCATCTTGTGGGGAGAGGCAAAGGCATAAAAGAGAAGCGTGTGCCTGCCTTTGCCCAGATGCAAGGTCTTTGACAGGACCAGGTGTTGACCTGCACAGGAAGGGCAGAGAACAGGTGACGGACTGGGGTGAGACAGGAAGGTGCCGCCCCTGGATGGGTCCTAGAGCCCTAGCCAGGAGGGCACACATCAGGTGTGTAATCACAGATACAGACGGTGAAAACCTAACCCATCCCACCGCCTGACACCAGAGTTCCCCAGGGCTATCTCCAGTTTGGGGACAACACTTCTCTATTCCCTTCTGCAGTCTCACCCTATGGCCCCAGGCCAGGTGCCACCCTATGGGACGCTACCTCCGGTGGGTGAGGAAACTCCCATTGGCATGGCCAGAACCATCACAGCCCGGCGTGGGGCAGGTGGGTCCCTCGTTCTTCAGCGACTTCCAAGAAAATGACGAGCCATTGAGGGACCCCTCTTTCTGCCTGCGGGCTGCCAGCGGGCAGCCGGATGCACTCCTGTGTGAGGCATACTTGCCACTGATGTGGCCGAGCCCCACGCAGCCGGGAACAGGGCACCTGTACACAAGAGATTAGAGATGATCCCAGGGCACTATTAGGAACACTGACAGCCTAACCCTCCCAGGCAGCACCAACTGAGACCCAATACAACTAGAGCAAAGACCACAACTTGGGTCCCGCCTGCCACTGGCTGCCTCACTCCCTGCATGGCAGTGGCCTAGTGTCTGTCTTCTGTCCCAGGTTTGGCCGTGGTTCCTGCCATCAGCAGTGGGGTGACCGTAGCAGCACAGGACCATTCACTGCCACAGGTGTGACTTCTGTGGTCATCTGTGGCGGCAGGAAGAGCACACAGCCACAGCAAACCTGGGAGTGAGTGTGGGCACCTGCCCCATGCTCCAGAAGTCACCTTGCCCCTTTGGGGTGAAAGCCCTTCGGAAAATTACATAACTATAGGGGGTAACTTGGAAAGGGCTGAGAGGGACTCTAGGCATGAACCCCATAGGAAAAGCACGTGGCCAGAGGCATTCCAAGATTCAGGGTCTGGGCCCCAACGCCATGGACCAGTGCCTGACCCAGGACCAGACCCTCAATCTTCTTGTGCCCCTAGATAGAAGGGCTAGCTAGTTGCTCTCTGCCTGCGGCCAAGCCCAGCGCCACGTTTCCAAGTCTAATACCAGTCATGTCCCAAGGCCCAGCGGCCTCCAAGACAGATGGCCATGAATGGGGGCACCCATGAGGTCGGGAGCACCTCAGAGAGTACCCATGTAGGACAGGATGAGTCAGAGGCGACCTTATAGATACCTGCTCATGCAGCAGGCACACTCCTTCCCACTTTCCTCTGCCATTGGGCCCTCCCCTCCCCGGGGCATCCCAGGCCCCACCCTGCCCATAGCTCATAGCAGTCCCCTTCCTTGTGCCATTTCTCCATTGCTGGAACCCTCTCTGTCCTCTCCCTACCCCATCAGTGGTCCTACCCCACCGTCCTCCATTACCTGCCTGAACCTCCATGACCCCACCCAGCCCACCTAGCCCCACCCTAACCCTTTGCAGAGACAAGTGAGGAGGTGCCTCCACTCTAGAGAGGTGGGCATTGGGCTTTGCAGGCCATGGGTGAATGAGCAAGAAAGAAGGGGTTATCCTCCACTGGCCCCTTCAAACTCTCTGTGCAAGGGAATGCTTCACCTCCCAGTACCCAGCAGCTATTGTGGGCACTTATTTAAAGGTGTGGGTCAATTTCAAACACAGTCGAAGTTCATGGTTGGGAGCCACAGACAGAGGCATTGAGTGGGCTAGGCAGCCTTCTGGGGTGGGTGAGGGTGGGGAAATCAGGGCCTCATCTACCCTGATAAAACAGAAGCAACCCCAAAACCCAGAACCCACCCTCCACCAGGCTGCTTCTTTTTCTTTCTCAAAGCACAGTCGACAGCACATTAGAAAGGGGAAAACCATTTTTCCCAGTTAATTTGAAAACTGCTGATCCTGATTTAATCATTTGCAAATGAAGCACAATTCACTTATGATACGCCTGCCAGCAGGGGCCCTCCTCAATTCACAACAGCATAGAAATATATGATCGCAAGCAAATTCTTGAAATCCCAGGAGGACGGATATTTCCACCACTGCATGTTGTGTAGACCACACATTTGACGTTATAATTTAACATTCATTACAGCCTCACTGTCAGGAGCTCTGGTAGCGTAGTGGCTATGAATAGAGCTGCCAACCTCAAGGTCAGCAGTTTAAAACTACAGCTGTTTGTAGTTTCTGTAGAGAAAGATGAGGCTTTCTACTCCCTAAAAGATTTACAGCCCTAGAAACCCTGTACAGGGACGCTATGGGTCAGACCGACTCCCTGGAATACCACCACCACCATCACAGCTTTGCTGTGAAAACAAATTCATACACAGACAAGCACCAGCCTTTTGATGCTGACAGCTGTCCGCACGGCTCCCGAAGGTGCGTGCAAAGTGCTCAGACCCCATGCAGCTGGACTGGCAAAGACCAATACATTGCTTTTTCCCTGGCAGGCATGTGACCACCCTGCCTCCCATGAGCCTTTCTCAAGAAGAGAGCCACTGGCCTGAATCCCGGGAAAAGCACCTTCTATCTCATGGGCCGGGGGTTCCCTTTCCCGACTCTGTAGCTGCCACTTCCAGTTCCAGGAAGCCCCATGGTTCCTGTGTTTGCCCTTGCACTTCCAATGGCACTTACCCCCACTTCCAATGGCACTTCCTCTCCTGCCCCTACTGCCTGGTGGTAGGGGGGTATGTTCCTAATGGGAAAATAAGTGTGCAATGGGACACGCTCCCCCCTTGAGTGGTCACATACGGGTCTAGGCAGTCAGGGGTGCAAACCATGGTGCCTGGGAATGTCTGGGAGGGCCACCTCTCTGGCTCACTACCACCTCCTGGATGTGAGAGGCCTGTGTAGGCTCATAGGTGTGCAGATACAGACGGTTGTTAGGGTCAATACCACACTCCGTCAATAAAGAGGACACCAGGGCAGAGCTTGTACAGTCCTGAACAACACTCACTTCATCAGCTCAGGGTCCTCCTTGTCGTCCTTGGTGGGTGTGATCTTGATGCCGCTCTTCTTTGCTCGAGGGCAGCCTGACAGGCTGTGTAGAAAGATGGGCCACCTCAGCCCCAGCAGTCCCCACCCTCTGCCCCCACTGAGTCCACTGAGTTTGATCCCTGACCCGGATGTCCACTCTGTCTCCCTTCAGAGAAAGCAAACTAAGTTCTGGAAAAGCCCAATGCTCGGAGTGAGGAGAGGAAACAGGCTTTCATTGTCAATGACATCAGTATTTGGTGTAGACCCCATTCTCTGCCCACGGAAGGGTACCTGCCTGACCAAGGGACTCACTGAGGCCCCCACTTGACCCAGGGGCTCACCTCCGATGAGAGGCGTAGTTCCCCGTGATGTGGCCAGAGCCATCACAACCGGGAGTGGGGCACCTGTGGAGGGAAGCAAAGTTGGGGCCAGTCTGTGAACAGGCCCACCCAATCCAGAAGGAAGCCCTCCACCCTCTTCCCCAGCACCATGGTCTCACTCTCTAGATGAGAGCCACTGATGATGCCCAAGCTGCACACCAACACCACACCAATAACATGCCCACAACATGTGTCTGAACACAGTGATCTCAGCAGTTTGCCATCCAGGGAAAACCTGGTATGGGGAGTGTGTCTCTACCTCCTAGAAGATGGGACACTTCGGCCTCTGTTGGGTTCCAAATGGACAAGAAGCATCTGCTGTCAATGGACACATGAGCCATTGACCACAGACTCAACCCTGGGAGCCTAGGAGAACAGGTCCTCACAGGAAGATTGTCGCAGTAGTTACAAGTGAAGGGCAGCCATTATTGAGCACCAGCTGTGTGCAGGCTGTGCCTTTAGTGTGCTGGGAGAGGACTAACCAAACACCAACACTGAGCCATGGTGGACAGTAACTGTGTCAAAGAGAACACTCCGATCACCGAGGAGAACGTGGGTTCCTGCTTAAGTCACAGTGAAGGCAGTGAGGCGACTTGGCAACAGCTCCATCTTCTAGGGCATCTAGGGTTTACCCTCCAGGCAGCCATGGTGGCCTTTCGTAGGGAGTCCATCTCTCCTGCTTAGTGAAAACCACAGAGCTGACTGGAGGGGTGGCCAGATGACCACTTCACCCAGAGTTGCCCAGCACAGGACTTCATGGCATTCAGTGCCCATTGGGGGCTGTGATGTCTGCCAGGGCCTTCTGCCTGGGGCCCATTTCTAGGATCGAGTGGCTGGCAGCTCCTGGCCCTTGAAGACCTCCTCAGGGCCAGTCCCTCCCATCTGCTCACCTTCTGTGGCCTCCCCCTGAGCCTGCCAGTCCCTGGTCTGTCAGCTAGTCACACTTTTCTCCCTCCGTGTGTGGGTCACATTCATATCACAGTTGGGGAGAGGCAGCATTTCCTTTCCACCAGCTTGAGATGGGCTTCACCTTCTCCCAGATCCCAGCTCCTATAACATCCTCTTGCTAAGCAGGTAAGGCCTCATGAGGCTCTTAGTTCTGGAGATTTCATGCATACCAGCTTCAGGAGCCTCCTGGGGTCTCTGTGGTGCCCACCCCTAGAGGCTGTGCTGGAGAGATGGATGGACCTCCACAGCCAGCTACCCAGGAGATACCCAGGACTCAATGATCTGGGCTCTGATGGAGGCTAGCCCGGTGGGTCCGCCTCGGAGCTGGGCCAGACTGGCTGCATGCATGGCCACCCTGAGACAATCCCACTGTTCTTTCTGGGAGCCACCTCTGTGGTGGAGTAGTGTCCCCTGGAATGGCCACTCCGCATGGTCTTGACAGGAAAACGTACAGGGCAGTGTTAGGGTTAGTGTCTGGTTCGTGGGCTGCCCCCGCCCCACACAAGACAGCCCAATGAGATGGCTCAGGACCTGGGTAGGAAGGGGTTAAGGGTCACCAGTGACAGGTTTGAGGCTAAGAGTGACTGGACTTCACATGAAGATGACCCCTTGTAGCCATCTCACAGGTGGTACTTGGTTAGCTCAGTTGGGAGCTGGACACCCAGGGCTTTCCACCTGTCCCCTCTGGCCACCACACCCACGGTCTTCTTGTGATCTTAGTCCCTTGGGCCAGAAAACCAGTTCGAAGAGTAAGTAGGGAAAGCTAGAGAGAGGACGAGGAGAGAGTGGGGCCGTGGCAGGAAATGCATCTGGGCCTCAGAACAGTTTCCTGAGAAGAGCCACCCTGAGCTCCCTGACCAGGCTGGGTCGGCCCCAGGCCCAGGGGCACTAGGTTTCTGTCTTATTTCCAACCAACTCAGAGTTAAGACCCTCATCTGTCCCAGGGCAGAAGAGCCCATGAGGCTAGTGGCAACACACTTGGGGAGGGACAGACTGAGGGGAGAAGTGGGCCCTCTGGTGGCCAGGAGGAGAACTAGGCTCAGGACAGTCCCCTCCTCCAGCCCCAAAGGGCACTGACACCTGGGAAACCTCTGGTCAAAGCAGGCCAGCTAATCTCAACAAAAGCAGGAGGTAACTCAGAAGACAATGAGCAGGGGCCCGCCTGGGCACCAGGAGTCAGACAGCAGCTGGGGACAGTGGAGATGGACAGGGCAGTGAGAACAAGATAGAGGAGAGCAGGGGCAGACAGGACTAGCCCGGAGAACAGGGATTCAGGGACAGACAGAAGGCAGCCTCTCTTTCGATTCTATGTCAGTTTCACCCAAAGGGAGCCACAGGTGGTGGCTGCTGGGCTGGGAGGATTGACAAGCCCAGACACATGCGGCTGTCCCTAAACCTGCCAAGAGAGGCTAGGCCACTGGAGATGGGTCCTGCACCCTTTTAGGGCTCCAACTGATGTGAAAGCCTCATGGCAGCGAAGGAGCCAGCAGCAGTCTCTGAGGGCAGACGGTAGCACTGGTGCGGAGCAGGGCTGGGGTAGGGGACACAGAGCAGGCATGCAGATCAGGGATGTAAAGTAAGAGTACAGAGTAGAGAGTCAAAGCAGGGAGTGCAGAGCTGGGACCCCAGCCAAGCAGATTCTGCTCCTCCATGGCCCCATCTCCTCCAACCAGGAGGGGAGAGGTCCTGGAGAGGCGGATCGTGGCTGGAGCCTCATGGAGAAAGGCCAGCAAGGGTGCCACCGGGAGACAGGAGGCGAGGGAGCGCAGACGTACTTGAGGTCAGCAGAGTGAGCAGCCATGAGGTTTCTGAGGCTTTTGTCAGCAAGAGGGCAACCAGAAAGGCTGAAAGAGAAGAGACGGAAGACAGGGGTAAGCACAGGGAGAGTGCAGCAAAGAGAGAGGGAGCAGACCCACCACCACCACGTAGCACCCAGCCGCAGCCTCAGCCGGACCCAGGCAGACGAACCTGCGGTGGGAAGCATAGTTTCCAGTGATGTGGCCACTGCCGTCACAGCCAGGGGTAGGACAGCTGGACAAAGAAAGATATCATCAGAACAGCATTGCTGGTCACCCAGGCCAGCACCCACCCGGCTCCCCTCCCACCCTCATCCTTGGGCTCAGCCCATACCTCTTTGCTTGGTTCTCCCTAAACACTTAAGTAGAGGAAGAAAAGGGACCTACGTTTATCATGAGGGTGCCTCTGGGGCACGGTGAAGCACGTGTGTGCATATGCACATGAGTGTCTATATGTCAATGTGTGAGGCATGTTGTGTATTGCACAAGGGGCCTGTACGTACATATGGTTGAGAGGGACGTGTGGGATGTGTGCACACGTACGGGTGCTGATGAACATGGAGGCCAAGAATCCCCTTTCCAAGCCCCCGAAGCAGGGTGGCTGTCTGGGTTGTGGCAACAGTGTCAGACTAAATAAGGGGCTCTGGGCTGGGCCAAAGGAACCCAGGAATGAGCCCTAAGCACATAGAAAGAGCTGGTCCCCAGTGCCTATGGGAAGCCAGTACTACGCCTGCCGAGGAATCCTCCAAGGAGGTGGCCCAGAGCCCCACATGAACTTGACAGAGACCACCCGTGACTAGCGAGGGCAATGTGATCACTCACAGCATAGAGGGGCAGCCCAGGGGCCAGCTGAGCCACCAGTGGTAGGACTGAGGCAAGGGTCACCCTGATGCACCTACACAATCCTCACAACCCTGGCACATCCTCATACACAATACACCCCATGTCCCTCATAGGTCCACAGACACATAGGACAAAACTTTGTACACCCTAGTGCATCTTCACACACAGAACTCCTAGCCTTGGTGCTCACACAGGCCATGCCTTCACATGCCCTCCAACACAGCACACACTCACATGCCTGCACACCCCAACACAGTTACACATACCATGCCCTTGCATGTGGGTGCATACACACACACACACCAGGATCTAACACACCTACACATAACATGTCCTTGCATGTGGGTGCATGCACACACGCACACCAGGATCTAACACACCTACACATACCATGCCCTTGCATGTGGGTGCATGCACACACACACACACACACACACACACCAGGATCCAACACACCTACACATACCATGCCCTTGCACGTGGGTGCATGCACACACGCACACCAGGATCTAAAGAGAGTAGATGAAGGGTAGCCTGTTGTCGGGCCCTGTGAGGAGGAGGAGGCTCTGGATGGGTATACTCTGCTGACCCAGTTTGGACAAAGACACAGTCTCTCTCTCTCTAGAAGGTTCTCAGAGAGGCCCTGCCAGCCAAGGAGGGAGACTTACGTAAGCAACTCCTTCTTTACGTCCTTGGAGAGAAACTTCAGCTTAAAGTTGGTTAGGGTGACTTCCCCTGGATATTTCCGCTCCTCAAAACTTTCTTCCGACACTTCCTGGTCATCTGCTTCAGAAGAAGCAAAAGAATGGGCTGCTGGCTCTGACTGCAAAAAACCAGCAGAGACACGTTTTAACCTTTAACCTCTGTGGGGACAGGCGGGTGGTGGGCGGGGCACCCTCAGGGTACAAGAGGCTCAGGTCTTCTCTAAGAGGTGGCTCCCCTGGCTCTGAGGATGGAGTCCTGCTCAGACAGAGGTCACAGTTCTGAGGCCTTATGCATGTTTGCTCTCTGACACTGCTGTCAGAGTCTTCCTCCCCAGTGGGGTCTGGGCTAGGGGTACCAGGCAGACGTCTGTAGAAGGGCCAGAAGGCGAAATGCAATCACTCGAGTATGCGTCAATATCTTGGTTACATCATCTCAGCCTTGTGACGCCAAGCCAACCCCCAGCACCTCATGCCATCTGACTAAGTGTGAAGTGGGATCACGAAACATGTGCTGGACTCGGGCTTGGCTGAGACCTCCTGGAGGCCAGCTGCACGTACTGGATGGCTGCAGGTCCTCTGTGTCCACCCTAGGACTAGGTAAGGAAGAACAGGCTGTCTGTGAGTCGATGAGGCTTGTTTAAGCGCTGTGTTCCAACTTCTGTCACTGTTGCTGGGGAAAATGCTCAAGTAGCCTGGATGTGCTGGACAAGCTCCCCAGGACACAGGGAGGTCATTCCCTCAAGATAAGGGCAGAGGGAGAACTGGGGTCTGCTGGGGGTCTCCCAAAGCTCCTGCCTTGGGGTGCAGGTAACAGGGTCTTCTCCCAGAACCCTGGGGCAGAGCTAGGAGGGTGGTCTGAGGTGGGGAAGGGGTGACATTTGGGGAGTAATTCTAGGGCTGAGTCACCGGACTTGGTGGACACACAGAAAGAAGAGAGAGGAAGAGGCAAGGAAGGGTTTGGGATGATCCTGAGGCCTCTAGCTGGAGAGTTAAGTTAGCAGCACCATGGGCCAGCAGGGTGGGGTTCCAACTCTGGGGTGGGTGGGGACTTTCAGTCCTGGGGGTCCCAGCAGTCTGGGATGGGGGTGGAGTTGGGGGCTTGCTGTCTTGAAGTGAGGAGAGCTATGAGTTCAGAGCCTGCTTCACAGATAAAATCACCATCCTGGGAGGAGAAGACGAGCTAGCACTGAACATGGGTAAAGACCAAGGAGGGACAGTGTCCTGAAAATAGGGATTGCTGGTCATGTCCCCTCTCATAGTTTATGAGGACAGGGCAGTACCTCAGCTGAGCAAAGCAGTGTGAGTACAGGGAAGCCAAGGAGAGGTCGAGGAGAGGGGGCCCAGCTCAGTCCCATTGAGGGCTCTGGAAGACGTGGATCAGACCTGGGGTCTGACCCCAATGTTGGGAGGTTCTAGGCCTAAAATTAACCCCAGACAGTAGAGACACTGCTCAGATGTGGACCATGGGATGGAGTGTCATCACACAGTGGCCCCTTGCTCCCCTGCTGCCCGTCCTCAGGACACACACCTGGAGCTCTGTTTTCCCCATGAGGTACCAGACAAGCAGACAAGAGAATGAAACATAGTCCCATAGCACAGCTTCAGTAAATCCTGTGAAGTCTGGGCTGGACTCAAGACCCAATCCACAACCCACACTGCTCCTGGCTAGGGCGTCCCCTTCTACTTGGCCAGCAGGTGGCCACAAACCAGGGAAATGCAGACCCCTGGGCAGCACAAGCAGTTTTTCCAAATGTTTCCTCGGAACCTGAGGAGGTTTCCCCCTCTCCTCTGCCTTGACTCCACACCAGTGCACGCACACACATGATCTCTAGGGGCGAGATCAGCTGTTTGCCAAGTACCAGGGGCCCCTGCATTCCAGTGGCCCCAGGACACAGGGCTCCCAGAAGCTCTGCTAGGGACCTAGCAGGTGGCCCGGAGAAGCAGTGATTTCTAGCAGCCTCTGTGCTCACCGCTCTGAACAGCAGCACCCACCTCCTCGGGTTCCTCCTCTCGCTGGCGGCTGGGCTTGGTGTAGTCCAAGGGCCCGTCCCATTCATCCTGGCGGGAGGCCTGGCTGGACTGGGGTGAGGTCATGGAGCTGCTGGTGGCACTGACACTACCCTGACACGGGGTCACATCAGGTGACTTCACGCTGGGGCTGCTGCTGCCGCCAGGAAGAGCATTGTCTCTCCGGCGGTACTTGTGCATGCTCAGGTCCAACGTCCCATTCTCATCCACTTCGATGTCCATGGGCTGTACGCAGAGAGGGGGGTTCATGCCAGGTGCCTCCTGAGTCAAACCACAGGGCCCGGAGGCCCTGGCCAACTTGCACAGACAGGAGGAGTCACCCTGAGACCCAGCTTCCTGGAGGCACATGGGGAGACATGTCTAGCTCCCTCTACCTCCCATCCACACTAACTCAGACCTGAGGGATATGGTCAGACTCTTGTCTCTGAGCCAAGCGTGCAGTGGCCAGGCTCGGCAGGGGACATGAAGGGATACCACCTGTGCACAGTCCCCAGACTCATTAGTGACTATGTGGCACCATGCATGGTATGTACCTGTGAATCCTTCGATTCAGCAGTGGATGTGTGGGGACATGGCGTGTGCATAGCCCCCAGACTCAGTAAGGGATTGTGGAGAATAGCATATACAGAACCCAGATGTGTGGGACATGGTGTTTACAGAGCACTCAAACTCAGTGGGGACGTGTTATAGAGCCGTCAGACCCAGTGGGGACCTCATGGGGACTCAGCAGGTGCGCAGTCCTGGGATTTTGTTGGGGAAACAATGTGGGGACATGGCATGTACAGAGAAGGGGCCGCAGCATGTGCCCTGCCTGCGGACTCAGTAGGGGGCTCATAAGGACTCTATGTGTACAGAACCCTGGACCCAGTCAGGGGCACAACATGTGCTCGGCCACCTGGTCACACTTAACAACAGCACACAGAGCTCCCTCAGAGGGGACCCGTCCACCTTCTTGATTTTTGATTCTCGGGGATCTGGCCAGGAGGCAGGAAGAAGAAAGGAATAAGTAGCAACCAGCTACTGGCTGCACCCAAGGATGTTTGTGCAGGCAGCAAATCCCCCCACCCCCTGCTCCCCTCCTGTTCAGTAGGGCCCTGGGCAGACCCACCTTGCCAGAGAGGTCCCGCGGCTTTGTACTGAGGTTCTCTGGCATTTCCCAGCATCGTGTGGAGAGGTTCAGGATGGCGGTGGCAGCCATGTGGGCAGCCTCAGCGTCCTGTGAATAATCGAAGCCTGGAAAGAGGACAGGGTGCTCGCCACAAAGCTGCCCGAGCAGCTGGGCCTGGGGCGAGGAGGCCTTCGGGAAAACCTTTGGCTGCAAAAGGGACCACCACCACCAGGTGGTACACAAGGGACAGAGTGGCCGGGCACAGAGACCTGAGACCGGCTCCGGTCTGGCCAGGGAGGAAACCCGCTCACACAACCCACATATCCCACTCCCAGACTGCTCTTCAACCACATTTCTGGCAATCACACCAAGTGGAGAAAGTAAAGGCATTTAAGCTGCCTGGCATTTCAAACAAAACAGTTTGTCTGCAGACAAACCACTAAGAGACTAAAATTCTATATGCAGAGTGTAGTGGCTTGAATGTCACTCAAGGAAGAAACTTTTGTAGCAGAATGTCAAAAGCATGTCAGTATAATTAGGCTGACCTTGATGTCCCCAGTAATGTTGCTGTATTAGAAACCATAGAGTTCATTTTAAGTGATAACAACCCCACCTGTTAGGGTAGAGCTACCCTCTAGGGTGGTGTGGCGCTGCTGGTTAAGACGCTGGACTCCAATGTCAATTTGAACTGCAAGGTCACCAGCCGCTTTTAGAAACCCTATACAGGGTCGCTATGAGTTGGAACCAACTCAATGGTATTTAACAGCAACAACAAAAGTCTTTACAGGAAGGAACCTGGTAGGATAGTGGGTTGTGTATTGAACTGCTAAACCACAAGGTTAGCAGTTCAAATCCACCAGCAGCTCTGCGGAGAAAGATGAGAATTCCTACTCCCATAATGATTTATAGACTTGGAAACCCTCTCTAAGGTCACCACGAGTCAGAACTAACTCCACAACCCTGACACAACTACCACCACCACCAGGCTCAGTGGATTTAAACTGGCAACCTTTTGGTTAGCAGTCAAGTGCTTGACCACTATGCCACCTGAGCTCCTGGTCCCCAGTAATCATCACTACTTTAATGAGGTAATGTTACTGTTGATTTCACGTTTTCATATTGTCTCCTAGCATCTGTGCTACACCATAAAGTCACAAGGCCACTCGTGTGTTCTGGAAATGAAACAGTTCATCCATGTCCTGTGGCACCATTTCAGTACACCCTCAAGCAGGGGGGACGTAGGCATTGCCTCTGCCGGATTTCTTCTTCATTGTTAGCATGCAGGGACTCCTCGCTGCTCAGCAGTAAGTGGGGGCCAGAGACCCCCTCGAGGAGCTCCTATCTCAATCCCACGTGCACACTTAGGAGCCCTTCCACTACAACCAAACTTTGTGGTTCACAAATTTGTGATGTGAGTGACAAGAAAAGATAAAAAGCATTGTTTTCAGGGGTAACTCTTGTCAATACCATGACACAGATTTGTTGCTAACATCATGACTAACATGTTATATCCAGCAAGATGGTACCCACCCAGGGAAACCTCCCCGACTCAGGGCATAGTCCAACAGACAACATATTTCAAGCACAAGCTCTCCTTATCAAGGTAAGTTGGGGTTGAACAGGGAATGACTAGAAGTTTGTCTCACAGGTGGGACCTGTTAGCAAAGTTAGGGTAAGTCTTTGGACAGACACACCCACAAACACCCAGGAAGAGTGAGGAGATAGAACACCAATGGAGAACATGGAGAGAGTGGCTCAGGGACTCAGACTCCCGAGAGGTCAGCGGGAACACCCGGGGTGTCTGGGCGGCTGAGACTCACATAACCCAACCCTTGGGAGAGTTGCCTGGGACAGATCTCCTCAACAACCCGTCAAGTCCTGTACCTCAGAAGCAAGACAGGAAAAGAAGTAAGGACCATTCTCCCCAACTTACATTTAAGGGCTTTAGGTGAGGTTTCGCTGGTCTGAATCTTTGGGGCAAGCATGCGTTTGCCAAAAACCTGAGCATCGAAACTTGCGTAGTCAAAGGTGACCTTGGAGAACTTCTCCAACTCCTTGGCCAGGTTGGCCCTGGGCGTGGTGGGGGCCACGCTGGGCCGGTAGCCCCCATATGGAGGGACCTCAAGCTGCTTCACAAAGCACATGGGCCTGGGGGCAGGGACAGAGAGAGGTCATGAGATTGAGCCCCAGGACTGAGCTCCCTAACCCTTCTCACCTCAACCCTTAGGAACCCCCCCACCGCCACCCCATACACATCCCACCACTAAAGCAGTGTCAGAATTCCATTCCATGTGAAGTTCCAGGCCTCTTTAGGTGACCCAGGACAGGGCGGTAGGCCAGACTCAGACACTCATGGGATAGGAGGGAGGATAGGAGCTGGGAGGGAAAGCTGATCACACCCTTGCACAATTGAAATGGAGAGTCAGGAAGCCCCTTTCACCTACTTCCACTAACAGTGCGCGTTAGGAACCTGGCTCCCAGGTATGGAGCATTTAAGCACAGAGGCAGGTGGAGGAACCCCAGTGTGCAGGGGAGCAGATGCTTCCTCACTTCCTAGACTGTCCTGACTTTGGCAAGGCAGAGGGGCCCCTTGAATCATGGGAGACTCCAGCCCGGTTTCAGGCACTGTTCAAGTACGCATTATGTTCCTGAGCTCTGGGGGAAATAAGCTTTGTCAGTGCACCAAGCATGAGGGAGAGGGGAGGTGGAAAACCCAGGGCTACCTGTGCACAGGACACAGGTGACCTGAGACCCAGAGTTGTCTGTGCGTGGACACAACTGCTGAGGGTCAGCAAGTTCTTACTATGGGCTAGGATAGGTATAGGGCACTGTCCTACTCACATCTCATAAGAAACCTTTTCTATGGCAACGTTCTGTCTTTACAAGTGAACAAACTGAGATCAAAGGCATAAGAGTGGCCACTCCGAATTAGGAGATCCCTGGGGGTCCCATGACCCTCGGCTTTGCCCCTTCCCTGGTTTACCCTGACTGCAAGAATGCCCCACCTCCCAGTGGCCCCGCCTGCAAGAATGCCTCATGCCCTTTGCCCTTGACCCCTCTAGTCATCAGTACTTAGATCAAGGCAGGAAAGTAACAAATCCCTAAAAGCGGAAATAAGTTGGAGAAAAGACCCCAGGACATGAGAGGGATCTGAATGTGCCTGGAGATGACCACAGGGCCAGGGGGCAGCAAGGGGGACCAAGTTCACCTGACTGGGGTTTTGCCAAGTGCACTCCAAGATGGGGAGAGGGTGTGAGAAGGAGAACAGAGCAGAGAGGGCTCAGGGGTGGGTACCTGAGGGAAGGAGGTGAGGGAACCCCAGGAAGGGCCATGGAGGAAGAGGATTGGTAGCACCGATTGAACCGTGTCCCCCAAACTTTGTGTCAGCTTGGCTTGGCCATGCTTCTCAGTGGTTTGACAGTTCTGTAATGATCCCCAAGGGATGATGCTTTATGGCTGTTGGTTTCTGCCAAGGAGTTCGTTCCGACTCATAGCGACCCTGCATAGGGTTTCCGAGGCTGTGAATCTTTACGGGAGCAGAAAGCCCCCATCTTTCTCCCGCAGAACTGCTGGTAGTTTCGAACTGCTGACCTTGAGGTTAGCAGCCTGCCACACAGACATTGAAAGGACTTTGCCCCAGAGCCAACAGAGAAAAGAAGCCTTCCCCAGGGTTGGTTGTGAGGGAAGACATTCCTATGTGTTAACGCTGCCCACTTAAAGGATTTGTTATAACAGTGCTAGAGGGCTAAGGCAGTAGGGGAGAGGTCAGAAGGAAGGGGGCATGGGGAGGGTCCACTGGGCCTGGCCTCTCACTCTCATGTGGGGAGACAAATATTAAACTGTTCTCCTCCAGAGAAATAAGGAGGAGTTGACTCAAGTGAGGAGGGGCGGGGAACCAGCCCAGCTCCTCTGAGACCGGGGGACACCCTAGAAACCTAACTTGAGGCTGTAGAACTCGGAATGGGACATGCCCTTTGTCTCTAGCTCTGGTTTCCTCCCCTGTAAGGCAGGCCACGTCCCAGGTTGAGTCTGGCCCCCGGGGCCCTCGATTCCTTGAAGGCCAGGGAGCTGGGACCCTGCGGGAGGGAGCCCCTTCTGTTTTGTGACTTGTTTCACTCACCTCAGGATCCGATCAGAATTGGAGCTACTCTTGGAAGGGTCTCCTGTGTGTGGCTGTTGCTTCTCATGCGATTTGGCTAACTTTTCAGCAGCAGCAATGGGGCAGCCAGACAAACTAGAGGAAGAACAAGGAGGGACATCAGAGCTCTCACCATCACAAGAGAAGGGTGCTGGGGGTGACATGTGGGCTCCTTCCTAGGTCACAGTGCACTCCATGATTTTAGAAGGTACTCAGTCTGGAACAATATCTGCTTTAGGAAGGTCAGAGCCAAAGGTATACACAAAGAGGAAACGGGCACCAGGTTCCAAGGCTCCGGGAGTGCACCTCTCTGGGTACCTGCATGGGCAGTCCTGCCTCTCCTGCTCTCTCCCAGTGATGAGTTCTGCAGCCACCACTGAGCCCCTTAGCCTGGGCGCTGGGCTCTGACCCTGAAGAGCAAAGGTTCTTGGGTAACCTAAGCCTACACTAGGGCAAGCAGGAAGGGACTGGCCCTTCCAGACCCTAACCAGAGACCTCAGGAAGGAGAGGCTTCAGTTAGGAGTGAAAGGACTGAGCTTGGGGACAGTACTTGGCCTGACCTGCAGGTGACAAGGCCATCGAAGGAAGCCCATCTCTCCCAGGTGCCCCTGCACCAGAACGTGTGCCCTTTGGAGCAAAGGCAGGAGCCCTGCCTAGGCAGACAGAACATCTCATCATGGTCATGGCCAATGTGGCACAGAGCAAATTGCAGGCCTCTTTGGTCATAGAGATCGGCACACAGCACCTGGGCAGTGCCAATGTGCAGCCAGAAGCTCAGCAGCCCACCCCAGCAACGTTGACTCTGACTGAGCCACTGGGCTCCGGCCAGCTTCTACCTCTCCCTCCCCAACACATCCAAAACTCGCAGAGCCTGCCCTCTGTTCTCCCAGGACCCTCATTCTCAGCAGGCCCCGGTCAACTCACATCATGCCCTGGCTTAGCCAAGTACCTTCTGTGGGTGTTGCGGTTGCTGTTCACATGGCCCTGTCCCGTGCAGCCAGGAGTAGGGCACTTCAGCACGTTCTCATGCATGGCCAGGACTGTAAGAGGGGAGGAGGTGGTAAATGTGACTATGTGGGAAGACCAGCTGAAGAGAGACCACAGCTTCACCAGGGTCGCCCCAGGCTGGCCAAGAGCCTCTCTATTGTGAGCCCTACCTCCTGTCTTCCGGAGGCAGAATCCAGACAGCTCTAGAAGCTGGCTGTGGTGTGTTCCCACCCTCTCCCTACTGCTGCTTCCAGGTGAGCCTTCTGGGAGCCCAGGACAGACTGTCTCCCTCCTCCCAAGCTCTGTCAATCCCCAGCCTGTCCCTCCACCATCTGCTCCCACAAAACGCCAGCTATATTGTTTCTGTAGGGGGTCTTGCGAGCATCTCCAGGTCCCAGCCTCACAGGGCTCACACTGAGTACCCTTAGCTCAGGCAGACATTGACAGAGCCACTTACTCTCTGGAGGGATCCTGTCTTTGTGGGGGCAGCCAGACAGGCTGCGGTGGTGTGGGTACAAGCCGGTGACATGGCCCGTGCCATCACAGCCTGGGGTCGGACACTTGATCTCACGCTTTTCGGCTCTTGAAGGGTCTGAGATGAGTGAGAAGCAGCGGTGAGTGGGCAGCCAGGATGAGGGTGGGGGTGGGCAGGCCAAGTTGGGCACACATGGTTCCTCACTCTAGTTGTCCAGAGAGGGGCCCAGGGGGTAGGGGACCAGAGTCTGGGCAGTTAGGGGGTCCCTGGAGAAGCAGTCCCACACCGGCTGTCTGCACAGAAAGGGGAAACCCAGACTTGACCAGACATTCCCAGATGTGAGCCTTCTCCTCAAATGACAGAGACGTGGAGGCCTAGTGGCCCTGCCAGGGGACACCCTAGAATCTTAACTTGAGGCTGTGGAACTCAGAATGGCCGTGCAGGAATTTAAACCCAAACTGCTAAACTCTCTCACCCCTTAACCCCACCTTCCCGGCTCTTCCTGGGGCTCCCCACTCGCCCTGTTCTCTACCTGACCCAGTCTATCCTGCTGGCTCCGTGCCCGCAGAATCTATCCCTGAAAGCAAGACACCCTGCTTTTGAGTCCCCCAGTGTGCTCCCTTCCCACAGGCCTGTGCCGCCTGAGTCTAGACAGGCTTGTATCTGTCTCCTAGTCAATGCCTCTCCCCAGTCACATCACACTAATGTCCTTCCTGATCTGGGGATGAACCTGTGCCCCTAATGGCACTCAACAGGGACCCCTCAACACCTGTCCTCCAGGTCCACCTCACCTGGAACACTCTTCCCCATCTGTGTTCCCTCAATATCTCTTCCCGTAGCTGATCTCATCTGCACAGGTATTCCCAGAGAATCTGTCCCCTGAGTCTCTGCCTACCTCCCAGCCATGGTGCCCCCAACCTCTGTCCTGGGCACATGTGTGTCTCTTCCAGCAGCCCAGTTGCATCCTCCCAGTGTGCCTGTGTCTGTCTCCCACACCCATAGTTCAGGTCCCACCGAATTCTCCCCATGCCAGGGTCCGGGTTCTCCCTAGTTGCCTGCTCCTCCCTGACCTCAGACTTTGTACCTGTGTGGGATCAGTGACAGAGGAGTGCAGGGACGGATGTGGGCCCTACCTTTGCTGTAGTAGCTCTTGCGCACGGTGTCCAGGGGCTTCCCTGCCTGCCCCTCGCCTGGACCCTGCTCGACTGGGCCCCGGGCCACGCGAACCTGCTCAGCCTTCAGTGCGATGGCTTGTTCCAGGAGACCCAGGTTCCCTCTGGTCATCATGTCATACATTTCCGACTCATCCGTGACTGCCGATTTCTGGGAGTGCGCATCCTCATCCTTGTCATCGTCAGAACGTACCTCTACGATGACTGAGTACTCGGGCTCGGAACGCAGGGGCTCAGGGACCTTCTGGCTAGAGGCGTGGGGAGCATCCTCACAGATTACTGCACGAGTGGACTCCTCCTCCTCCTCCTCCTCCTCCTCCTCTTCCTCCTCTTCCTCCTCCTCTTCCTCTTCCTCCTCCTCTTCCTCCTCAAGACCCAGGGCCCCCTTTTGCCTGCCAGACTCCTCGATGGCCACACCTTCCAGGGATGTGGGGCCCAGTTCCTGAGGCGGCTCACCCGTGGCCTCCACAATCTCCTCAGCATCCTCTGGCTGGATGAAGACATCTTTCTCACCCTCATCACTTGTGGTCCCCTCCCCAGCCTCCTCCTGGCCCAGGTCCTCAGCAGCTAGAGACTCCTCAGCAATCTGGCCCAGGTTGAGGAGGGACGTGGCAATGATCTCCTGGTAGCTGCTGTAGCTGCCCTTGGGGGTGCTGGCGGGGCTGGCTCCAAAGTGTGACATGACTGGGCTTCTTCCTGTGGATTCAGGATCAAGTGTGTGGGCAGCAGGGCACACAAGTCCCCAGACCCCATCACTCCCCCAGGGCCAGGTTCTGTCTGCATTGCCATCGCCCTCAGCCTTTTCCTGGACATAGAGGTCATGAAGGCACACTTTAGTTAAAGCTAAGAATGACTTTGGTATTTGTGATTCAGGTTCCTCTTCCTCTACATGAACTTTCTCAGCACGCTTCCGTTTATGAAGTGGAGCTAATCCCCAAGGAAGGTGCAAATCAGATCTCCCAAAATTATTTTCTAGTTTAAAAGCAATAATAAACTTTTATTTTCTTAAGAAGCCAGATTTAAGTACTGAGTGTCTGTGTGTTTCTGACCCTAGACAAAGGCCTAGGACCAATCAAAGGGGACCCCCCATGGAGGAGCCCCCTCTACTACAAGCTGGAGACCAGTTGACAAGGATGCCCCACAGAAGACCCACTTCCACCAGGATCCAGAGATGAGGGCTGATGTCCCCAGGCCAAGGCGCTTAAACCAGCACTGGCAAGGCTGGTGGTCTCAACATTGCCAGTCCTTGGGGATCCACAGGGAATAGGGTACAAGAAGGGAGTTTGTCAGCTTTTATCGCTTTGTCCCAGCTCCTCTGGTCCCCTGTCTTTAGAGGATCCCACATGGCATCAACCAAACATTCAACATCTGCCCTATGAGCCCCTTGGGGCCAAGCAGACACCAGACCTGCTCCAGATTCTCACAGAGACCCAAGACCCAGTCTATCTGGGCTACACCTGTGCACAGACAAACATACAAACAGAAGAAGACACACAAACATGCAGAAATACAGATTCACAGGGAGACGCATACACAGAAACGCACTGATATGTTCACAGAGATGCACAAACATGCACAGACATGCACGGAGACAGAGATGCACACAGACACACACAAGTGAGGGACACACACCCTGGACAGCCCCTCTCCTAGGAAGCCCACCACATCCGGACAAGAACCCCTTGTTCTCGGGGGCTCTCCCTGCCCCCATGCGCCCTCCCCTAGCTCAGCACGCCATCACCACACTGAGCGCCCTTTATTCTGGGAGGGAGAGTACAAAGCACCTTCAGCTGGCTCGGGGCACTGCGTCCCCTCCTGCCCGGACATCTTAGTCTCGTCCCCCTCCAGAGTTCCTTCCGACTCGTCCGATACAGAGGCGTCCTTCACCTCGGTGTCCTCACTGCTGTCGCTGTCCACACCATAGCCCTCGTCCAGAGCCAACTTCAGGGGCTGCGGCTTCCGCTTGGCCATCAGGTGCTCCGCCTCTGTGCCCCCCAGCCTCCGCTTCTTGGCCAGGGGGCAGCTCTGCAGGCTGAGAGGGGGGTGAGGGCGGCCTTCTCCCTCCAGGCTCGCACTGTCTGGAAGGTTCCCTTGCTCTCGCCTCCGTTCCTTGTCCACCTCCTAGCCGACAGGCCGGCAGGAGAACGTACCATCCCTGCCTCCCTCCTCATTACTGGAGCATCTACTCAGAGTGTGGCTGCCCTGAACAGACAGACCATCAGGCCCCACCGCACCAAGGGGTCCCTTCTCCACCTCCTGACCTGGAACCTACTCCCACCCAAACCTGACACTGCACTGAGAACACTGAGATCAAATGGGGCCAAGCTGACCTCCCCAAATGACAACAACCAACTGCTGCCACCCCTCACATTTCCCCCAAGCATCATGCACCCCAACCTGAGCGCCCCAGCCTACCCCAGTGTGTACCACCAATGTGTGTCAGGAAGCTGTAAGCCCTCCCATTAGGCACTAGGACTTGCTCTAGTCTGACCCCACAGCTTGGGGCAGAGGCGGGGATTTCAAAGACCCAAAGACCCAAAGTAGGGGTGTGGGACCACGTTCTGTCAAGTCTCCCCAAGGCTCTCACCTCCGGTGCCTGGAGTACTTTCCCCGGACGTGTCCAGAACCCGTGCAGCCCGGAGTAGGGCAGCTATGGGAGACAAAAGGGGAGTCACTTAGGTGTGGTCATATGGGGAGGGAGATCCAAGTAGGGGTCACCCCACCCCTCAGCTGGGAAGCAGAGGACAGCAGAACCGCAGTGTGTGTGATAGAACTGAATAAACTCAGACACTGAGAACATTTTAACTGAAGATCTAAAGTGTCACAAGACCCTTCCCACCCCTTCATGAACAGGGTGGGTGGAGGGCTCACAATTCCAGGACAGCACTACCTGGACACATAGCACAAGTAGGTGTGCACAGCTGGCCAGGACTCCAAGCCCTACTAGAGGCAGCATGAGGTGACACCTGGTTCCAATGCAGCCCACTGAGTGGAGTGTCCAGTGCTCTGGTCCAGGCCCAGCCCCAAGGGCAGAACTGTGCCCAGAGTCACTTCTGGGCAGCTGCAAGGGCTGTGAGGGATCTACCCATTGTTTAGTGGGTCACGTGTGAGGCAAGCCAGCTCAGACAGTGAGAACCCTGCTGTAGGCTTTGTGGGGGACGAAATACTAGGCCAACATGACTCTGGGTCCTACCAGGTCAGACCACCCTAAAACCTATATTCACAGAGAAGGGGATGAGGGCACATCTCCCTGGGGCTGAGAGGACGAAAGTGTGGAGCCAGCACCTCCCTACCCTGTTCCAACAGCAGACAATAACCCTGCTAGTCACATGCTTACTGACTGAGATGCAGCCCCACCCACCCCCAAGCTTCATCACAGCCACTGGAGGAAAGGGGACCCTTAGCGTAGTGGTTACGAGTCAGACTGCCAACCTCAAGGACAGCAGTTCGAAACTACCAGAGGTTCCACAGGAGAAAGATGAGGCTTTCTGCTCCTGTAAAGATTTACAGCCTGGGAAACCCTGTGCAGGGTCGCTATGAGTTGGAATCGACTCCACGGCACTTAACAACAACAACAACAACAACAACCATGACCAAGAGCCACTGCAGCAACCCTCGTGCCGCATTCATTGTACTAAACAGACAGAGGCTGGTCTCTGTCGAGAGCGGCAGAGGAAGAAGGAGACTCGGAATAGGAGAAGTAAATGGCCTGCAGGGTTCACAGCCTCCACAAACTATTACTTCCATTACCATGAGACCAGAAGAAATGGATGGTGCCCGACCATCAGTATTGAACAGCTTGATCAAAGAACCAACAGATCCTGATCGAAAGGAGGAAAACTGTGGAACAGAACTCCAAACTCACATGGAAACCAGATTCATTGGGCTCATTGAGATTGGAGGAACCCCCAAAACAAATACCCAAATATAATCTTTGAACCTCGAACGAAAACTATCCCATGAACCCATTATGAAACTAAACAACGGTTCAGTTGTTATTATAACAACAATAATATTTGCCAATACGTCACACTGCAAAGCTATTTGAACTGCAAGGTCAGTGGTTCAAGCTCACCAGCTGCTCCTTGGAAACTCTATACAGGGTCACTAAGGGTCAGAATCGACTCAATGGCACTTAACAACAACAATAACAAAGCATAGCACTCTTACAAAGATGTGTCTATACTATCTAATCTGACAACAATTAATCTAAAGCTTAGATGAGAACTTGAAGGGACAGAGAGCTTGAATTCATAGTACCGAAACAATGTGAGCAGAGAGCGTGAGACTGTTGGTACAGTAGTCTGTAACCAACATGACTGAACTGGTAATGCAGAAATTGTGAGTGGACATGTGTATGCTATCATAAAAAATAAACCAATCGTATTTTAAAGAAGAAGGAAGGAAGGGAGAATAGGTATGGGGAGAGGAGCCTGGGGGTGGGGGGGAACTCTTGCTCTTTACCACACATTCCCCTCCCTCCCCAGCTGCCCACGCATGTCCAGTCCTCACATCTCCCCCCACACTGCTGTCTTCGCTTTCGCACTCTCAAGAACCAGCTCTGAGACTTTTCACAAAAAGCTCCTTGTTGTTGGGATTTGAAGCCGACCTCCCAATTAGCCAGTTAATCAGGCAATTAGATGACAGCTGCAGTGGTGGCTCTGTGAGACACTGGTATAGCCACACCCCCACCGTCTCCTCAAAGACTGGGCCAGCCCCTATCCCACCCATGGCCATATGAGGGAGAGTCTGGAAGCCACAGGGACCTCTCTGGTGGGGAGAAGAGTGCATCTTCAAGTGGCAAACGGTCCTTGAGTCCCCTCCTCACTCCTTGTGGGGGAGCAGGGCACTTGATGAGACAGCGTACCTCTGAGCTGATGAGACCAGCTAGCCCTGGCGTGGGTGTTGGGACTTTAGAAGGATTTGTACTAGTGAGGGTGTCAAGGAACTTCCAGAAATGCACATCTGTGAGGTGGAGGGGAGCCCTGGCAGGCAGCCTCTGTGAGAAAGAGTCGGCAGCTGGGGCGGCAGAAACCAGTTTGACATGCTGCCCTGCTCACCTACTCTGGGGACTCTGCTGAGATCAGGCAGAAGTGACCAGCTTGTCTCTTCCTGCAGAGGGATGACCAATCTTCTCACTCTCTCAGAACACTGAACTCAGAGCACTGTGTACGCACTGTCCACGCATAAGGTGGGAGAAGTTGCCTGGCCTGTCCCATAGTGCCATCATTAGATCCCTGGGGCTCTGCTGAGTGGCAGGAGAGACTGACGGATGGGCGTAGACTGCGGGGCTGTGTTCATCCTGCACACACACAGTGTTTCACCCCAGCACAGTGTCTCCATCATCTTTGCATCTAGAACATGACTTTCCTCCCACAGTGATGATGGAGGTGTCCTCTGCCGTCACATTACCACACAGCCCTCCCCACACTGCTCTGTGGTGGGAAGCCCCCACAGTGTGAGCCCCCAGTGTGAACTCCAGCAGATCAGGGAGCATAGCAGGGTGTGCTGTGCATCAACCTTGGGGGCTTAGGGTCCACGTTTGAGGTATAAACACGGATCCAAGTTGCAATGTGACATCAAGAAGAGGCAGCGGTCATCAGCCAGCATCAGCCGTGTGTCCAGGGGTCAGTAATCATCTGCTGGACACACAAAGACGATGCCTCCACGAGGCACATGTTTTCATACCTGTTGCATCTTTGCTCTGTTGAACCCTAAGCATTGCTTTTCAAGCTTGAAGAGTTGCTGGGGAGATAGGTGTTAGAAACCTGGTCTCCGTGCACAAGCACCTGTTGTTGTCATTGTTAATTGCCATGAAATTTGTTCACAGCAACCCTCTGCACAACAGAATGAAGCACTACCACCATGCTACACTAACCTCAAATTGTTGTTTAAGCCCATTATTGCAGCCACTGGGTCAATCTACCTCACTGGGAGTTTTCCTCTTTTTCTCTGACACTCTTTTTTTTACCAAGCATGAGGTCTTTCTCCAGGAACTGCTCCCTCCTGATAACATGTCCAAACTATGTGAGGCTGTCTCGCCATCCTCTATTCTAAAGAACATTCTGGTTGTACTTCTTCCAAGATGGAGTTGTTTGTTCTGACAGTCCATGATACTGCCAGTATTCTTCTCAAACACCATAATTCAATTGCATCGGTTTTTCTCTGGTCTTCCTTACTCATTGTCTAACTTTCACATGCATCTGAGACAACGGAAAACTCTATGGTTTGGATCAAACTGGCACGTTCCTGAACACTTTAGAATAAGATCTTTTGCAGCCGATTTGCCCAATACAATACACTATTTCTTTTGGCTGCTACTACTATGAGAGGTGATTACAGATCCAAGTAAAATGAAATCGGTAACAACTTCAATCTTTCCCCCATTTATCCTGGTATTGTTATTGGTCCAGTTGTGAAGATTTTCACTTCCTTTACATCGAGGTGCAATCTTTGACATTCATCAGCAAGTGCTCCAAGTCCTCTTCCCTCCCAGTAAGCAACATTGTATCATCTGCAAATCACAGCTTGTTAATGAGCCCTCCTGTAGTTCTGACATAGTCTTTTTCATATAGCCCAGCTTCTTGAATTGAATCGGGCTGCGAACCTTAAGGTCAGCGGTTCAAAACTACCAGCCACTCTGTGGGAGAAAGATGAGGCTTTCTACTCCCATGAAGATTAACACCCTCGGAAACCCTGTACAGGGTCGCTATGGGTCGGAACCGACTCGACGGCACTTAACAACAACATCTACTCCCATGAAGATTAACACCCTCGGAAACCCTGTACAGGGTCGCTATGGGTCGGAACCGACTCGACGGCACTTAACAACAACAACATACAGACTGAGGGGTCCTAGAGTGGTGCTGTGGGTTAATGCACTGCACTGCAAAGTCAGTTTGAACCTCAAGGTCGGCAGTTCAAGCTCACCAGTTGCTCCTTGGAAACCCCATACCGGGTCACTATGGATCAGAACCGACTCCAAGGCACTTAACAACAGCAAAAACATACAGACTGAATAAGTACAGTAAAAAGATACAACCTAAGGCTTATTTCCTGATTTTAAACCACGCAGAATCCTTTGTTCTGTTCAAACGACTGCCTGCTGTCCTATGATACAGGTTCTGCGTGAGCACAACCGAGTGTTCTGGAATTCCAGTTCTTCACAAGGTCTGAGTGATCCACAGAGTAGAATGCCTTTGATTAATCAATAAAGTACAAATCAACATCTTTCTGGTATTCTATGCTTTTAGCTTTTGAATCCAGCTTGAATTTCTGGCAGCTCCCTGTTGGTATATTGCTGCAACCATTTAAAAAGTATCTTCATCTAAGTTTTACTTGCATGTGATATTACTGATGTTCGGTAATTCCCACATTCTGCTGGGTCATTTTCTTTGGAATATGGATCTCTTCCAGGCAGTTGGCCAGGTAGCTTTCTTCCAAATTTCTTGGCACAGAGCAGTGAGTGCCTTCAGCACTGCAGCAGATTGTTGAAATATTTCCATTGGTAGTCCACCAATTCTTGGACCCTTGTTCTTCACTTATGACTTCAGAGAAGCTTAGACTTTTTCCTTCAATACTATCAGTACTTGGTCTCATGCAGTCTCCTGAAATGATTGAATGTCAATCAACGTTTCTTGGTACAGTGACTCTGTGTATTTCTTCCATCTTCTTTTGTGCTTCCTGAATTGTTCAATATTTTGCCCATAGAAGCTTTCAATATTGAAAGTCGAGATTTGAATGTTTCATTCCATTCTTTTAGCTTGAGAAATATTGAGCATGTTCTTCACTTTTGGTTTTCCAACTCCAGGTCTTTGCTTATTTCATTATAATACTTTTTGTTCTTGAATTGTCCTTTGAAATACTCTGTTCAGCTCTTTACTTCATCATTTCTTTCATTTTCTTTAGCTACTTCGAAAGCTACTTTCAGAGTCTCTTCATACTTTAGTCCATTTTTTTAAATCCATACTAAACTTTATTCTGAATCAATCATCTATCAGAGTGCAAGTCAAAAAGTAGGAAAAAAAAAAAGTAAAGGAGCTCATCAAAGACGTTCCTGACCACAATGTTAGGGTCCCAGTTTAGAGAAAGAAATGTTCTCTGGGTCATGGATGCCATTTTTTGTCAATGACTCAAATGCTGAAAGTTGGCAGATTCAGGATGAAGCATTTCTGGAGCTCCTCCAGACATTTCCTAAGAAGCTCCACTGCCCTCTCACGTGAGATAGTTGGTGTATAGTATATCTATCCAGGATACTGAGAGTCAGGAAGTCACCATAACCATGGGCTACAAAAGGAGCCTTTGCCAAGGTCACCAAATAGTCCATGTAGTAGAGTGCTGGACCCTCATGCTCATCATAGCCACTTTAGTGAATTCTTTTCTGTCTTTTTAATTATCATTTGCTTTCATCACGTGTGATGTTCTTGATGTTATCCCCACAACTCCTCTGGTCTTCAGTCATTAGTGTCCAATGGGTCAAAGCTGTTCTTGAAATGGTCTCTAAATTCAGGTGGGACATACTCAAGGTAATATTTTGGCTCTTGTGAATTTGTTTTAATTTTCTTCAGCATCAACCTGGATTTACATGTGAACAATTGATGGTCTGTTCCACAATCAGTTCCTGGATTTGTTTTCGTTGATGGTACTGAGCTTCTCCATCATCTCTTCACACAGATGTATTTCATTATGTCCCTGTGCATTCTATCTGGTAAGGCCCAAGTGTACAGTCTTCATTTATGTTGTTGCAAAAGATATTTGCAACGAAAAGTTTTTGGTCTTACAAAATTCTATCACGAAATCTCCAGCATCATTTCTATCACCAAGGCCATATTTTTAAACTACCAATCCCTATGTTTTCAACTTTCACATTCCAGTCACTAATTATTATCAATATCTTTATTACATGTTTGATGAATTACAGACTGAAAGAAGTTGGTCGAATTCTTCAATTTCATCTTCACTAGCTCAGATCTAGAATCTAGGCAGTGGGCGGTGGAATCACAGGGCTCTGCAGAGTCCGCTCCGAAATAAGCATCATCCTCAGCCCTCACTGCCCTGTCCTTTCCATTCCTAAGAAACAAGTCTACTTGGAAGGTCACTTTCTTCCTACTGCTTCAAAGGGACAAGGGTCTGCCTTTCCAACTCACTTTATGACTTCATCTACAGCCGAAGCTGATTGTCATCACAAAAGCACAGAGTCCTCAGGGCCCCACCCTCCCTGCCCTCCCTGCCCTCCCTGCCCTCCCTGCCCTCTGCCTGGGTACGTCTTTACCACCATCCCCACAAGGCCCTCAAGGTGGACACTGGAGGGCACCTTCAGAACCTCTACCTGGGTAATTCAACATTGATTGTTCAGCCCACCAGGTTAGGCTTCTCCCTTCAGGAGGACCTGGGGGGAGAATTGAGGATACAGGACCATCCACTGTGACCCAGACCTGGACTTTGGGCAGCAGGACGTGCTATGTGGCCCTCTGGTTGGATGAACACTAACCCTCTGAACCTAGGTTTCCCCACTTCACAGGGATAATCCACCTACCAGAAGACAGGTGGGTCCGGAGTGTGGCTGCAAGGGTCACTGGGCAAACCTTGGTGTCCCCTCCAGTTCTGGGCTTTTTCTCCATGACTGAACAACCTTAGTGAGGCTAAGGACTTCCTTAGTCCTGGCAAGTGCTAAAGGAGGAGGGAGTGGCTGGAGTCCTAACCCAGACAGGTCAGACAGAGAATGTATCTTTGGAGCCACTGACTTATTTGCTTTGAAAAAGTTGGTCTTATGTTCTATGAATTTCACCACATCTGATGTCTGACTGCTCTGTCCACACCAACTGCTGCTTTAGGGTGAGTTCCTGCACTGTACATTCCTGAAGTGTCTGGCCCTCAGAGACCTCAACACCACCTCCTCCTTCCTCTCACACTTTCAGTCAGAATACACCATCTCTACCCTCCTCAAAAAAAAGTTATAGGGGCCCATTCTCTTTGCTGGGCTCTGAGCAATGCTGACCAGGAACAGCACCATGAAAACCCAGAGGGAACCTGACCACAAGAGCCCACTCTGGTACTCAAAGTTGGCCCTGAAGCCAGACCTCAAGGCTGCCCTGGCTTCCCATGCTGCCCCCCTGCCCACCCAAGGACCCAGCCAAGGGCAGCTATGTGCCTCTAGGGAAACCCCTTCCTGCATTCAATCAGACACCCAAGTGAGTGGGCTCTTGCTGCCCACTCATTCCAGGTGAGGCTGTGCCCAGGATATTGTCTCTGAGCACTGGAGCCTAGACCTACTGGTGTCCATCACCCACACAGCGGGCATTGTCTGGGGTTGGACCAGGTTCTGGTGGTGACCAGGGTGGTTGAGCAAGACTGCCCTTGTCATGAGTTGGAAGTTGAGTGAGAAGGGCAGAGGCTGGACATGTGTTTGGGGGAGAGGGGGCTCATCAACCCTGCAACCAGCCCAGCTCTAATGTGGTGCTAACAAGAGCCTTCCTTACCTGAGGTCTGCACCTGTGGTCTCTGGGGGCGCTGGTGAGAGGAGGAAAACATAGGTGGGTGTTAGCTCAGAAAGACACTCTTCCTCCCAGCCCTGAGTGACACTCTACCAGTGCGCGTGCAGGTAGCTGTCTCCTGCTCCTCTAGAACCTTGTCCAAGTTCTAAGCGAGCAAGTGGCCTCCTCCAGCCAGTGCTGATGACCTATGCTAACACCCACCACAGAAACCAGGTGTGAAGGGAGTTCTGACAGCAGGTAGGTTTCTTCTGCCAGGGCAGATGTCAAGATGGACCAAACTAAGGGTAGGACAGACAGACCAAGTAGCCAGTCTTGGGATAGACCACCCACCCTGAGGGGCTAGGAACCCAGCCCACACCTCACCCAGTGCATCCTCAGTGTGACACATCCCAGGTGCTGGCTGGACTCATCCTTGCTCATCACAACTGAACGAGACTTCCCATTGACGTTCCAGGCCCTAACCTCCAATCTCCACCAGCACCAACACCTTGTCTTAGAAGAGACGGGGGCAAGGATGGACATGCTATATCAGGCACCCTTTGTTCTCAGGGATGAACCAAACAGTTTCCAGTGGCTTCTAGAGGGGCCTTCGAGGTATGTGCATCCTGCTGTGGGCTTGTCCCTGAGGACACTGTCAGGGAGAGTCTCATGCACCCTTAGTGAGGTGGCAGCCAGCCTGGATCACTTACCTCGGCTTGCCTTGGAACGCGTTCGAGCCCGCTTGTCCTCATCTTCCAGGCTCATCTGTAAGCAAAAGAACCCAAGATTAGTGAGAACTGGGTCTGAGCAGGTTCTGGCTCAAGTACTGGCCTTGAAGGCGGCCTCCATCCCCAGAATGAGGGGAGGCCTGGGAACAGAAGTGGCATGTGGGGACTCCACTGGGAAAGGAGCCTCTGCCTGGGGGTGAGGACACATTTTCCTTGCCCCACACCCCTGGAGTTCACCCAGTGACAATGTTGGAGTTGCCTGAAGGCTGAGGTACTGGGGTCACCCTAGTCAGGTATGCTCGGAGTCTGGCTGCCCCTGGTATCCCCACTCTACCTACACAATCAGGATGTCTGTTGGCCACCAAACCGCAGAGGTGGGTGGCACCAGAGCATCTCTCCCTGCGGCCATATGCCTGGAACAACCAGGGCTGTGAGACTATCACCGGAAAGGGCAGGCATGAGGAGAAGTGGATAACAGGATCACATCTGCAAGAACTTTCATTCCTAAAAGCCAGCAAGAGTCACGTCTCTCAGGTACCACCCAGGAGAAAAGCAAAAGGAATCCCCCAAATTAGTAAGACAAAACATGCAAAGAAAATCACCCCCCACATGACAGTGCTACCACAAAATGATTTATGTGATTGGTTAAGGAAGAAAAATAAAAACCCAGGGTAATTTATGGATCCTGTGAGCCCAGGCTGTGGGCCATACCATGAGCTGTGTGCTCATCAGTCTCCAGTAACATGGAAGAAAATCACTGTACTCTCGATTTTTAAAGTGGAGGTTCCCTATGGGTCAATGGCTCCCATGTAAAAGGAGGGACAGAGTCAAAGGGCTTTCATTAAGGTTACAGACTCCGAGCGTGTGCCTCTGCTGACCCACAATGGAGCTAATGTGCCTGATTAGCAGGCCTGGGCTCAGCTGAAATGCAATCTACAGTCCTTTTCGTCAGTTTTCCCAAGGAAATTGGCAAACATTCTGCTAGGTTAAAGCATGTCTTGGCAATTTGGATTTCCTGCAGATAAATTATTCAAAAAGCAGAGAACAGAGAGAGTTGCAGAGATTCGTAATAGGCGCTGCTTGCAACCACGCTCACTTTGAGGAAGCCGGCAGCTGCACATTCATCCAGGCACACCTCTTCCATTTGCGATTTATCTGCATAAAATGGGCAATAAGCAAGAGATTTTCTTCCGTTCCGCTTGTGCAGCTTCGATTTTAAAAGGGAAAAACCCTGAACTACAGGAGGAAAAAATCAGACTTGGATGTGAGAATGGGTCTGTGGAACTTGGTGGCTTAGGACATGAATTCAGCAGTGAACAGGAGACTTTGACTTCGGAGTTGTATGGAACTAGTGACTTTGGCTGTGCAGGCGCCTCTGAGCAGAACCAGCAGCCCACCTCAACACCACGTTCCTTTCCTTGCCCAGCACCCAGTGCCATGTTTGCTACCCACATGCCAACCATGCTGCTCTACCCTAATGGGCATCTCTATGACGCTAAGACAAGAAGTCACATTCCAATGTTTGTTCATCTTATGAAAAAAAAACAAAAAACGAAACAAAACCACGAGCCTGTGACTTGTCCATGTTGTGTTCAGCTAACAGACAATTTGCTGCCCCTGCTACTACAGACAGAGAACGCTGACCCTTCACTGTGAGACCCCAGCTCTCTCTTGAGGGTCACTGTGCTTTCTTTCTGTGCCTTTATGAGCCTCTACTCTGCCGATGAGTGTGTCACAAGCATTGCCCTCTTTCAGCCACCTCATCACCCTGGTTAATATCAGGGCCTCTGATGTGGAGACCAACTCTGAGGAGTCTCACACAGGGTGGGGGGGGGGGGGGCAGATGTTCCCTATCTACCAAATCTGCTCACAGAAGGTGCTGTCCCTCAGCTCAGTTCAAGGTGCTTTATCAGCATCATAGAGGGCCTTTTGCTTTGCTCTGTTTTGTAATTTTTCAATGAAGTCAAGATTAGTCACATAGCTCTTTTTAAATGCATATGGCTCTCACAAGGGCTGCCTTCAAGGATCACCACCGCCACCCACACACCCTCACACACACACACACACACACACACACACACACACTGCAGGCCTGAGCTCCCTGATCTTTACAAATGTGGGGCCCAGAAGACCAGTGAAGAGCAGCTCAGAAGGACAAAGGTTTGTCTAGGCTCCAGTGCCGCTAGGATCTGAGCTGGTACCGGTGTCCTCCAGGCCTGGCAGTTTGCTCGTTCAGGAAGAGCCCAGTGGCATCTTTAAGTTAGGATCCTGAAATGTATGACAACCATCCACAGGCATGACCCTGAAATCAGACTATCCCAGAACATTGCTCCCCTTCTACTCAAATTATCCGGGAACTGTGGCCAATGTAGATCCCCAACCTGTGAGGCCACTTCTGCCAACGTTAGTAGACCCCTAATCAGTTCCTCCCAGGTGTCCACTGGCTACAGTCCCCATCAAAGCAAAGTGCCTGGGGGACTCAAGACGGTCTGAGCAGTAAGGGAGGAAGGACGCTCCATGGTGGTCCTCAGGTGATGAGAAAGGTGCTTCGGGGTGAGGCTCACCTGGAAGCCGTCAGCACTCCGCACTGAGAGAGCAGACAATGGGAAGTAGTGGAGCAGCCCACCCCTCACGAGTGTCTTCACAGTGGCATGTCCACTGAGGTAGGGACCTAACTCCCGACTTCACCAAGTGTCAACACCACCAGGTGACCATCTTCTGGCTGTCTCCCTGGCCACCCTAGGAGGTGTAGATACATCTCTGGCTCACTTATGGGACTCCATGCAGTGGCAAGGAGGCTGGCACAGATGCCCAGGATACATGGAAGAAGGTCCTGGAGAGCTTCCTGGCGGAGGTATCCTTGGAGGAGAACTAAAGGAAGCTAAGGTCACACAGGCTGGGAGCATTAAAGATGGAAAGATGAGCTCTCACAAAGGTTGAGGACGAATGGAACTGCTCAGGAATCCATGAACAGCTAGATGTGAGATCAGAGTGCAGAGTTTGGGGAGGCATGGGAAGGATAAGGCTGAAGAGGCTCAGGCAGGTCAGGACCTAGTGAGCCAGGTGAGAGTAGGAACTTACCCTGCAGGTAAAGGAGCCCAGCAGCATTTTCCACAAGGGCTGAAGGGGCATATCGGACTTGTCTTTAGAAAGATGGTGCCAACAAGGATAAAGCAGTAGGAATCAAGGTCAGAGTTGGCCACCCTGGAGATGGATCCGAAGTGTAAGGGAGGAGAGGCATGGCTGGCCTGGACTCCTATTTGATGGTCAGACTTGAGGACAAAGGAGTCTGAGGGAGCAGGATTAGACACACAGGACACCAGTGGGACATCAGGGAGCTGTCCAGTAGCCACTGCAAGTGGACATTAGTGCTCGCACACTTGAGAGCAGGTGCAAACATTCTTGTGAGTAACAGAACAGGGATGGCAGTGTGGCCCCAAGCCCACTGACACCAGGAGACCAGGGCCAGGCCCTTGTGAAGAGTAGGTGCAACTCAATAGCAGCCACATTTGCTGGTAGCCGCCAAGAATTATTCATCTCCTTTCCAAAACAAGTGCATAACTGAGGGCTGATTCTCAGTGAGTCACAAGGGTGTCTGCAGGGTCATCTAAGCAAGGCTTACTGGTTCATCAACAAGTGACCACAGGAAAGACATCTTTTCTCTCTGTAGTATGTGATGCCTGGAGCTGCAGCAGCCACATTGTGACCTGGAAGCAGCATTTTGGGAAGTAAGGTGTGGAAGGTATTGGACAACTGTGAGCTGCTGAAGTACCCCTACACTGGAATATAAGACGATAAACCTTCCTTATTGTTTAAGCCACTTTTATTAGGATTTTATTACTTGAAGCTAAAAGGCTGCTGAAGAGATACAAACACCAAGCCACATCATGAGTGTGTAAATACCACATGTGCTCCAGGCAGAGAGGAGGAGATGGTTGTGAAATGGCTTCCTGGAGGAGGAGGCTCCAGAGGAGCAAAGGGGGTCTGGGGTTGGCATGAGGGGTTGAGGAGGGCTCCCTCTTCCTTCTATTCCATTGTGTCCTGCTAATTTCTGCTGTAGTCTTCATCTTGACCTAAAGTGACCTCCTCAGTTGTATTTTCAAGCTTCTAATATCAAAAACCAGAAAGATGTCTACTTGTGCTTTGACGATGCAAAGGCTTTGGATTGTGTGGATCATGACAAACTATGGATAACAATGTGAAGAATGCACATTCCAGAACACTGAATTGTGCTCTTGAGGAACCTGTACATAGACCAAGAGGCAGTCGTTCAAACAGAACAAGGAGATACGGAATGGTTTCAAATCCGGGAAAATGTGCAGCAGGGGTGTATCATTCCACCATACTTATTCAATCAATGGAGTCCTGGTGTGGTGGTGTAGGTTAATATGCTGGACTGCAAAGTTAGTTTCGTCCTCAAGGTTTGCAATTCGGACTCACCAGCCACTCCTCGGAAACCCTACACAGGGGGGCTGTGGATTGGAACCGACTCGATGGCACTTAACAACAACAAGAATTCAATCAATACACTGAGCAAATAAGCTGAGAAACTGGATTATGTGAAGAAGAACGTGGCATCAGGATGGGAGGAAAGCTCATTAATAACCTGGTAATGCAGATGATACAACCTTGCTTGCTGGAAGTGAAAAGGACTTAAAATACTTACTAATGAAGAACAAAGACTACAGTCTTCAGTATGGATTGTACCTCAATGTAAAGAAAACAGAAATCCTCACAAGTGGGCCAATAAAAAACATCAGAGTAAATGAAGAACGGAGTCCTGGTGTGGTGCTGTGGGATAATGCACTGGACCGCAGGAGTGGTTCAAATTCACGAGCCATTCCCTGAATGACTGACTCGAAGACACTTAGCAACAACAAATGGAGAATAGATTAGAGTTGTCACAAACTTCATTTTGCTTCATTTCATTCACAATCACCACGCGTGGAAGAAGCAGTCAAGAAATCAAACATTTTGCATTAGGCAAACCTGCTACACAGACCTCTTTAAAGTGATTAAGAACAAAAATTTTGCTTTTGCTTTGAGGACTAAGTTGTGCCTGACCCAAGCCATAGTATTTTCAATTGCCTCAAATGTATGCTAAAGTTGGACAGTTAATAAGGAAGACCACAGACAAATAGATGCATTTGAATTATGATATTGGAGAAAAATATTTAAAGTACCACAGATGACCAGAAAAACAAACAAATCTGTCTTGTAACTACAACCAGAATGCTCCTTAGAAGCCACGATAGCAAGACTTTGTGTTTCATACTTTGGACAAGTGATTCCTGGAGAAGGACATCATACTTTGTAAAATGGGGGGGTCAAAGAAAAAGAGGAAGACCCCCAAGGAGATGGATTGACACAGTGGCAGCAGTAATGGGTTCAATTGTAACAACAGTTCTGAGGGTGGTACAGAACCAGGCAGTGTTTTGTTCTATTGTGCAGAGGGTCATTATGAATTGGAACTGACGCAATGACACCTAACAACACCAACACAGTCTCCTCTCTTGCAGAAGGAAGGAAGCCCCAAGGGAAGGAGTGGTCACTGCTGTCTCTGGTGCCAAGGAAACGTATTATTGAAGGACAAACAGATCGATGTAGTTGGAACATCTCAGAATCCTGGACCAGAAGGCAGTGATCAGATGCAAAGGGTACACTGCCCAGAGCCTGGACTGGAGGAGGAGGCAGCTTAGGATTGTATTTGAAATGTGCTCTGGAAGCCATCCAAGCTTGGGAAGCTAGTATGCATGTATGACAATTCCTGGAGGCCTCAGACAGTTCCTGTCCAGAAGGAAGAGATGGGGGAGACAAGAGGTTAGGGGGCAGAAGAACACAGCAGGGACACGGAGCCAAGTCCAGATCAGCCTGCTCAGATTCTCCAGCACAACATACTCAGGCTCCCCTTGTTCTGGGATGAGCAATGGCTTTGGCTTGTTATGTACTCTTACCTTGCACAGGATAACACCTGTGAAGTCTCAAAGCAAGCAGTATCTTCTTGGGACCCACATTCCCCATGAGGCAACCCTATGCTTAACAGATATGCACCCTGCCTTCCATTCTCTGGGCTTCTGAGTCTGGATTACACACCCACAACCCTGCTCCCCCAGAATCCATCACAGACCCCCACCCCTTGCAGCAACATTTTCTGCCCCCCTTGGTGTACACCCTGCCAGGCTTTGGAATTCTTATACCCACTCATTGTGCCGCCTACTCCAGTGTAATAAACCAGCAGTTGCTTTATGCTCTTCCTGGTGCTGAACAAAGACCACCCCCCCCCATGAGATATATTCATTCTGTGTTTTAGGAGGTTTCTCCTGTCACCTCTAAGCATGGAACTGTGACTCCCTCCAACCTCAGATTTAAAACCACAGCTGTTTAACAAGCACCTAATGAAGCAGCCAAGCCTTTTCATCTCAAATGTCAAAGCCCCAATGTAAACAGGCTCTGCCTCCCCGAGGTTTTCAGTGGCTTCCAGTGAGACATCAGGAGTGTCTACCCATTGACCTGCTGAGCTCCACTCATCACCAAAGGAGGTAGCCAGGTTGAACCCCCATCCAATCATCAGCCTTCCCTGTGATGCCATACTTTTCAGTCATTCGTTGACCATTGCGTAATTTTGGCCTGAATATTTCATTCTTCAAGGTCAAGAAAGAGCATCACGAACTGCCATGGCCGCCCTTTCCTTTTCTCTTTACCAGAAACAAAATCACCCTGATGTTTCTCAGAAAGCTTCCGCTGCTGTGACGCTGTCCGAATCCCTGGTGCTGAAACTGGGGCGGTAGTCATGACCGCCTCCACGAAGGGCCCTCTCCTCACTGCACAGCTGCCACGTCATCTTCTCCTCCTCAATCTGGCTGAGTGCTGAAGGTCCCTCCTACACCTGCACCTCCTCAGACTGCTGGAAATCGACCTTCATGCACAAGTCCTCCCTGGACCCCTCTTCGCTTTAGATTCTCTGCTCAGAACAGTCCAGCTTGAGGACAAGGACTCTCCAATGGAGCAATTAAGAAACAGTCAGTCCTGCCCAGGCATAGGCACCTGCATGTTCACCGAAGTTTCGTTTTGAGCAGTCACAAATGCTGCCCTGACCTCATCCTGCTGGACAAAGGGATGATGGCCTCAATCTCCTACCCATCCCTTACACAGGCCCCAGTTTTAGATAACACTGCACCCAGAGCCCTTGGCCTCAAATCAGGTGACTTGTGATCAAGTGGTCCCAACCAGGAGATCCCCATCTAAAACCTTGGGACTGGGCTCAAGTGAGGTGACTGAGGTCTTCAATTCAGGTGAAAAATCTAAAGGGAACTAATCACTCAACAATCAAACACAAATAATATTTTAATGTAATATTTTAAAACATCAAAATGAATGTTGAAAAAAAAAAAATCCTTAAGTTAAGATAGACTCAATAGTCCTATGTTGCCTATGCCTCTGGTCATCCACAGGGGAAGGACGGGTGGCAGTACTTTCACAAGGCAGGTGCATGACCCAGGTAAGAACATTGATTGACATTAGAGCCCAAAGAAAGGTTTGAGCATCAGGAGGCAAACCCCTCAGAGCGGCTCACACCTCAACATTTAAGTACCTTCTCATCTGGGGTTTGGATGCCACCTGGTTAGGTTTTTCCAGGGCTTTGACTATTATCCTCAAGTGAAACCATGTCAGGACAAGGAGATTAGAGTCTGTCATCTGACAGGACTATCCTCCAAGTCTGTGGTCCAGCTCTGTTTCCAGTGGGCCCCTGACCCCAGGATCTGACCCATCAAAGCTGGCTATACAGAATCACAGGCTATACATTCATGAGGCATGGTGGGCACCTCAGTCATAGAGTTTCAAATAGGTCTGTAAAGAGTACCTGCCACCCACCTTCACAAGGGGAATCAGAGTCAAAGTACCACAGCCAGTGGGGTTCACACTAACAAATGAGTGCTGGATCCTGTGGAGCTCAGCAGCCCCAGGAAGACCTGAGTGAGGTGTGCAGTGGACCCCAGGTGTGGCAACATCTGCAAGCAGAGCTGGATGGGAGGCAAGTCTTGTCTCATGTTAGTCTCTTTAATGTCATTATTCTTCCTGTAATTTAAAAGTGATCAGATCATTGGTGGTCCTTTTTACCACTTCTCCTCACCAAATTTGGACTCTGGTGAGGACTAGACCAAAGGTCACCTCTGTGTTTCATGTCCATGAACTGGAAAGACTTGACAGATGGCTCAGGGGCTAGCAATGTCTCCTGCCACAGCCCAGGCCCTCCAGCACCTCACCTTGCGGTGTCTGCCCAGGATGCTCTCTGAGGTCCTGCAGTTGCTGGTTTTGTCACTGTGGGTCCACCTCTGGCTCAGCAGCTCACCTCGGAACTCATTTTCTGAGGGTTTAAATAAAAAAATCATAGGATCATAAACGAAATATGCTACATACATGCAGTGGGATACTCTGCAATGTTAAAGACTAATGATGAATCTGGGAAATGCCTCACAACATGGATGATCCGGGAGTAAAATCAATTAATAAATCACAAAGAACAAATATTGTATGAAACCACTATTATAAAAAGTCAAAAAATGTTTTCACACAAAAAAAGATATATTCTTTGATGGTTACAGGAGTGGGAAGAGGAGGGAAGGGAAGTCACTAACTAGAGTGTACACAGATATTGAAAAAAAAACAAAAAACACCATGATATCACAGGGTCAGGGAAGGAGAGATGACATCAGTCTAGCTAAAAATGAAACGAGGGAGCTTGAGCCCCTATGAAACAGCATCCTTCCTGGAGCCCCTGAGATAACAGACACATCTGGTACCATGTGGCTGTTCTGGGGACAAGGAAGGGGATTTTGGGGGGAAAGCACCACTGATTTGGGACACATCTCAGAGCTCTGTGTCCTGCACCCTCCCGACTGCCCTCGGATGAATAGCTCCCTCCCCATGCATACTGTCTCCAGGGCCTTCCGTTAATGTTTAATTCCTCACATGAACCCACGTCCAAGCAGAGGCCGCACGCATCGCTGGACGTGACAGAGACGTGCTTTGTGCACCTAACCCTGCACGTCACTCCTGTTGCCACGACAACCGCTCTCTCCTCTGCAGCGTTTCAAAAGAAGGTCATTAAGTAACCAACAATAAAAACAGGAAATGAATATCCCTGGATTCTGTTCCCGGCTCCTCTTTGGAAGTGAGTTGGATTCTGCTAAAGGCAGGTCAGTGTACTGTTGGGGCCAGTATCTTTCCCTGCTGTTTTTCTCTAGAATTCTTCTGCTCTTGGGTCCACAATGCCCCTCAGGCTGGCCACAGTATCCACCTGCTACCTAGAAACACTTCCATCCCATTACAGCCCTCACTATCTCCCCAGGGAGGACAGTCGCAGAGGACACAGGTCTGGTTGCCAAGGAGATGGCAGATGCCAAAGGCAATCTTCAAGGGACTCATGAACCCACCAGGGTTTGGTCCCTCCTGTGTGTTCCCACTGAAGCTCCCCATACTGAACTGTGTCAGCCAGAGAATAGGGCATTAGGGCTGACGTGTGCTCAGATCACAAAGCAAAGACAGAACATAGTTAAGACACTTAGACGCCACCTAGGGAGCTGATCCCACAGAGAGAAGGAAGCTGAGGGTTAGGAACATGGGGCTAGCATGGTGAGCAGGGGTAACCTCACTCAGGGGGTGTGAGGCAGACCAGGGCACTAAGAGAGGCCCCAATGGGTCTCCTTTCATCTCCTCCACAGGGAGGGTGGGGCTGGGTATGGCCGGCTGTGAGGCACGGAGCCTACTTCCACTCTCACATCTAGGTCCAAGGACACCTGGGACCTGCAGGTGACAGTGGGTCCTCATCATGGCAACCATCAGGAACACGTATGTTGAGTGAGTGGCTGGCATACATCACACTGATGCTGGACAGGGGTGCACAAGTCATCCCTGAGCCTGCCAGGCCACTCCAGGTGACTCCTCACATGCTTTCTGCTTCCTCAGCCCCCCATGGCCTCAGAGGCTGGAGGAACTCCCGTGAGATCCATTCTCCCTACACACCCTCACCACCTGGCCCACATCTGCTCTGGCAAAGTACCAGATCTGCCTGGCCCTGCCCTCTTCCTTAGGATTGCTGGACAGCAAACTGCAACCACTTCCAGAGTTCAGTAGAGCCAACCCTTCTTATCCTTGACCCGGCCTTGCCCCCCATGTACCTTGCCTGGACCCAGGAAGGAAGTATTCAGAGGCCCTGGTCACACCTGGCCACAGGACATTCCAGGATTAACCCTTCAAAGCATGTGAATCGGAGGAAGGAAGGCTCTGGGGGTGAGAAATGTGGACAAGTATGCATAGCTAGCACCACACGCCACTGCCATGTGGTGTTCGACTCCCAGAGGTCTCCTCAGAATTGCTCCTTTCAAGCACTTAGATCACCACAGAATCCCTACCCAGTCAAGCACCAGGAGACATGGCAGAGGCAGGAGCCCAGTATTACTAGGTGTGGGACCCACAACATCTGCTTCTCACAAAGGTGACCTTTCCTTCCCCATTTCAAAAGTGTGAGGGGGTAGAGTTGGGGATGCTGCAAATCAGAATTTCCAATACAGCCCCCGCAGGTGATAAATTGTTGTTGTTGTTAAGTGCTGTTGAGTCCATTCCAACTCATAGAGTCTGAGAAATGACTGGTTGGGTTTGAACTGTCGACCTTGTGACTCAAACCAACGTTGCAGTGCAGTGCTTATCCTACAGTGCCACACTAGTACTGTCCTCCAGTTGATAAATGTTGTTGCTGTTAAGTGCTGTTGAGTTAGTTCTGACTCATAGCGACCCTAGAATAGGGTTTCTGAGGAGAGGCTGGTGAGCTTGACTTGCCAACATTGCAGTTCAAACTGACCTTGCAGTCCAGTGCATTAACCCACAGCACCATACCAGGACTGCTGTTGATAAATAGTTGATTAAAGAGTGTGTGTGCCAATAGTACATGAAAAGATGCTCAACATTGTATGCCATCAGAGAAATGCAAGTCAAAACCACAATGAGATACCACTTCACACCTACTAAGGTGGCTCGAATCATTTAAAGAAAAAAAGAGACAATGTTGGTGAGGATGTGGAGAAATTGGACCTCTCATGCGTCACTAGTGGGAATGTAAAATGGTGTAGACGCTCTGGAAATCAGGTTGGAAGTGCTTCAAACACTAAACATAGAGTTACTATATGACCCAGCAATTACATTCCAAAGTGCCAACCCAAGAATGAAAACATATCCACACATAGCCTTGTGCACACTGTTATAGTAGTTTTATTCAGCACTGGACTGCTCATCAAATCACAAGGTAGGCAGTTCAAACCCACCAGCTACTCCTCAGAAACCCTGTAAGGACTATGAGTCAGAACCAACTAAACGGCCCTTAATAACAACAAGCCAAAAAATAGAAACAACCCTCATTCTTATCAACTGATGAGTGGACAATACAAGATACAATAGAGGGACTGTGTACTAATAACCGGAATTGGGGGAGGGAGGGGACAGGCTTGCAGGGTATACCCTTTAGTTGGTTGATGATGCATGGAGGGGATTGTAACCATGGCAATGAAACAACATACGATAGGATGAATGTAAAACTAATATTCTCCCATGTAAACTATCACGTAAGTCACAATAAAACATTTTTTAAAAAAGATAGAAGAGAGAAGCGCTGATCCATGCTACAACTTGGATGAACCCTCAAAACGTTGTTTCAGATGAAAGAAACCAGTCACAAAACATCATCTAGTGAGATTCCATTTCTACAAAATGCACAGAAAAGGCAAATCCACAGAGACTGGAAGTGGGTTAGTGGTTGTCTGAGGCTGGGGAGGGGGACAGAGAAATGACCCTAATGGGACAGAATTTCTTTTCGGGTGATGAAATGTTCTAAAATTGATACTTTGGTGATGGCTACATAGCTTATCATTGCCATTGAGCAGACTCTGACTCACAGCCTCTCCATGCTCTTCACTGTGGAACTGTGCTCCAATGGGGTTCACAGCGGCTGATTTTTTGGAAGTAGATTTTCAGGCCTTTCTTCTGCAGTCCCTCTGGGTGTCCTCAAACCTCCTATCTTTCAGTTCACTGCAGACATGTTAACCTAGAGATGCCTATCTACCTAACTGGAAACCACTGACTTGTACACTTCTAATGGGTACATTTAATATCGTTCTGGTGTGGGTGGTGCTGTGGGTTAAGGTGCTGGACTGCAAAGTCAGTGATTCAAGCTCACCAGCTGCTCCTCGGAAACCCTATACAGCATCACTATGGGTTGGAACCAACTCAACGGCACCTAACAACAACAACAAAGCTGTTTAAAATAGAAGTCAGTGGCACACATATGTGAGTTCTCCAGATGCCCACACTCATCACAGCCAGAGACGTTCTCACAGGCACACATAGGTCTGGTAACCACATCAGAATCCAGGCCCACACCATCAGCCACCTCACAGGTCTACTCACCCAGGAGGAGGAACCTTGAGGAAAGTGGAGGGAGGGCAGCACATATCGAAATCAGGCCATGTGGACCCAACCGCTCCTGGAGGCCAGGGGCTGTGTCCAGGATGAATAGCAGCAAATACACATAGAGGGCAGGATAGCCCCCTTGGACAATCCCTTGCCTTGGTCAGCAGTGACACCCATGGCCAGCCTCAGCACTGCTTCCCGTGGACTGCACCCAGGCTGGGCAGAGGGAGACAGTGGCTCTGTGCCCATGAGAGGGCTAGGGGGCAGTGTGAGCCAGGAGGACACAGACAAGTCTCTCACTGTACTGGCCAGTCCTAAGCCATGGCTTCTGCCTAATGGTTGCCCTGCACTCAGGCTGGTGTGCCCATCAGCCCTGTATCCCAGGCTCCTCACTGCCTCTACAGAAGGAAATACTGGTAATGCAGTACCTCACTGTTCTAAACCACTGACGCCATAAGCTTACTGTCCAGTCTGAAAGACTGATCACTTTGGAGTTGTATATGTGTTTGCATGTTGCCAATTGAAGGGAAAATGTTCTCTTACTTTTCATTTTCCCTCTCATCCATCCTCACTTCACAGTTTCAGACATGAGACTGTGCCCAGCAATGCAGGAAAAAAGGTTCAGAATAGAAGTGTAGAAGTCTTTCAAAGCCCACACAAAATTTGACCATAAATCCCAGTGAAGATCTGAGGAGGCCTCCCAGCCCAGAGAGACCCAAGGACACAAGACAAGGTCCTAAAGGGCACTCAGACCACAATACACAGAACCAGGTCTCTAGTCCAGCCCCATACCCCAAGGGAACTCAACAATGCCTGCCAGACACTTGGGGGAGTAATGGGCCAGACACTTGTGAGAATGCAACCAGAAACTTGCATTGAATGGATGGATGGAGGTGTA